CAGGGGGGGGGGGGGGTTGATGTTCTGCGGGTGGGTGGGGGTGGCAGAGCGAAGGGAATCATGAAAAAAAATACTCTGCACTAGAACCGTCTTACACAAGAGACAAGATTGAACAGATGCTGAGTTCGAAAGTAAATTAAGGGCTACTCAATTATACTCAGGAATTCAGCACGCACAGGGAATTGGATTTGAGATAATATATTTAATTCGTTATTATCTGTTGTCCTTCTGTTGAAGGAGCCAAAATTAAGGTTATATTTTTATTTATTGGGCAACTCATCTGGATAACAATTCCCAAATATCTTTACACAATGACGCAATAAAAATTAAAGGTTTATATTTTAAAATATCATTTAAAGTATGATTAGTTTGTTAAAGTATCCTAATAAATTTATAACTTTTTAAAAAAAATGTTTAAGTAAATTATATACTTTATAGATAAAATTGTACTTAGTATAATATGCTTTACCATTTCTATTCATGTTATATTTTTTTATTTTAGTAAATTGTCTCCCTTGTGGTATATTTTAAAATATTTTTGTGTTTTTGTTTATCTATAATACTAGTTTCGCTGTCTGTCTATGTATCTATCTATACGACAAATTCCCGAAAGACACTTACCCGAATGCCGTTTGCCCGAAGGCCGATTTCCCGAATGGACACTTGCCCGAATGGGACAAATGCCCGAATGGACACTTGCCCGAATGGGACAAATGCCCGAATGGACACTTGCCCGAATGGGACAAATGCCCGAATGGAACCTTGCCCGAATGGGACAAATGCCCGAATGGACACTTGCCCGAATGGGACAAATGCCCGAATGGACACTTGCCCGAATGGGACAAATGCCCGAATGGACACTTGCCCGAATGGGACAAATGCCCAAATGGACACTTGCCCGAATGGGACAAATGCCCAAATGGACACTTGCCCGAATGGGACAAATGCCCAAATGGACACTTGCCCGAATGGGACAAATGCCCAAATGGACACTTGCCCGAATAGGACAAATGCCCAAATGGACACTTGCCCGAATGGGACAAATGCCCAAATGGACACTTGCCCGAATGGGACAAATGCCCCAATGCGCCCGTTGTATCTCTCCCTCAACGGGCCAGTTATCTGGTCAATAATATTTTTACAAGCTTTTATTTAACTTGCTTCCTCTGTCTGTCGTTAATCGGTCTCTCTCGTATACGAGAAAATAATAATTGAAAGTACTGAGAAATGTTTACATAAAAACGTTTTAATGACAAGCTTTTATGTAGTAATGCACTAAAAAGGGAAAAATAAATGATTATCTTTAAATATATAATAATACACTACTATTTAAATAACTAAAGAAAAATAGTTTCAAACAAAAAATCAGGTTGAGTAGTAAAATCATTCAGATAATGCACGCTTTGGTACGCAACAAGTGTTTCTTCTATAAGTAGAAAAGAAAATATATACTTTCGGAAATTTTAATCCGACCCCCCCCCCCCTAAAATTTTTAGCTCCCTCCCCCCTCCCCTTTTATTTCGTCACACATCGTCACAAAAGCCAGACCCTATTCCCTTGTACAATGACATCACACACCAACCCTTGCCCCTCCCCTCATCACAAATCGTCCTAAAATTACGGACCCCTTCCCCCTCCAAATGTGACGTCATTTACCAACGACCCTATATACTTTATGCTTTTTTTTTTAAGTTTGTCCCAGAAAATGGAAATGGCATACGGAAGTTTCTTCGTAGAGACTGAAACTCTGAAAGTCGCCTTCCAGGCAAATACGTACATTACCATAGACGAAATGTTTGCCTGCGGTATGATCTATCCTTAGAGTTCCCCAGTTCTTTGAACCTTAGACGTTGTATTAATACAAGTCTGAGAGCCAGCAGTGCGATAAGGAACTCTATTTTTAACTTAGAAATTTTAACGAGGTTAAATGCGATGACGTAAGCAATTTCGCCAGGGGTCAGGTAAGGTGGACATCTTGTTTCAGAAAGTAGGGAAGGGGTCACATGTCTGTCACGTGACTTCAGAAAATTCGGGAAGTATCGCGTGCTACAATGTGTGACGTGTGACTAAGCATCGAATTTTAGGTCACGATACAGAAACGATCCGGCTTCTTATTTTTTTTTCCTATAACCTAATACGTCAGATGGCAGTTTAAAAATAGAAACTGGAATGAGAATTCATTTGTGTTGTGGTTCTTTACCCCCCCCCCCCCCCCCTCAACATCCATCCTACCTACACACACACTTTTCTTAAGACAGGAAATCTAGAACTGATCCTTTCAAATCTGGCTCGTTACTAAAATTGAGTGGGAGGTACCTACACAAAAATCTGACAAGATCTCCCGATTAAATCTATATTTAAAAAAAAGAAATTACTGGCATCACTAAACCGGAAATGAAAATACTCATAGGACAGAAACGACGTCATAGTGACGCCGCATGTTTGAAATGCCAGTAAGTCACTTGTACTTGTAGCTTCTGTTTCAGGCCAATAGGCTTACACCACATAACGAGCTTAAGTTGCTAAAATCATCGCTTTTTTTTTTTTTTTTTTTTTTTTTTGTCTTATTGTATAGGCTTTACTCTTATTTAAATCAAAGGCAGATTTATTTTCTGAAAGACTGCAGTAAAATCGTAAAATCTTTTTTTTTTTGCTCCTTTTGTCTTTTTGTGTAGGTTTTACTCTTATTTCAAAATTAAAGGCGGATTAATCTTCTGAACTACTGCAGTAAAATGGTCAATTTTTTTTTTACTTTTTTTTTTTAATATTTTTGTGTAGGCTTTACTCTTTTTTCAAATTAAAGGCAAATGTATCTTCTGAAATCAGTGTTTCTTCCAGACTTTTTCCTCCGGGAGTGCACTTGAAATTTTCGGGGGGGGGGGGGGGGGGGGGGGCGGGACTAAAATTTCCGGGGGGCGGACACTATTAAAAGTATATATTTTCTATATAAATTTCATTTCGATCGGCGGGGGGGGGGGGGGGGGGATTGAAGAGATGCCTGGAAGAAACTCTGTCTGAACTACTGCTGTAATGCGTGCCATGAGTTATAAAACTAGGGCTAGAAGGACGGGTTTAGCCAACGATCAATAGGATCATGGAACGTTGAGACTTTTAAAGTAGAATAATTTGGCGTTTGTAAGTATGTAGGAAAGAAGATTTGGGAGTGGGTCACCAGTAACTCTTCTTCCATAATTGGATCGACTCTGGTGAGAAAATGTGGGGAGTGCTTCAGTCCTTGGCAGGGTTTCTTTCAGATATTTTTTTCTAGGAGAGGTGGGGCATATTAAACTTCCCGGGGGCGCACACAAAGCTTCGTGGGAGGAGAGGCGGACACTGCTTTAAGTAGCCTGTATTTTTTCTTTATAAAATGCATATTATTTTTCTATTTACGTTCAGGGGAGGGCGGTAGATTTGATCCGGGGAGGGTGAGGGGGGGGGATGCAATTTCCCCCCCCCCCCCATCTCTTGGAGAGAAACTTGCCTTTGACCTAAAGACCTTCACATTCAGCATGTCACCACTCGCGAGCTTCTATTATATTAAGTCATATTAAAAGTCAAGTTGACAAGTTGAATAAATGAAAAAAAAATATGAAAAAAAAGGTTGGACGAGGGACTATAGCGCCAGAGGTTTCAACGGGTTGGTACCCGCTAGGTTTTGAATGTAGTTCAAATGTTAATTCAACGAAGTAACCCCTCAGCCACGCTTCCCTCACTAGAGAAGACGCTTTTCTAGTTTATATACACACTGAAAAACAAAAGACGAGGTAATTTTTAGTAACACGGTAATTTCTATTACTAATTTCTATTTTTAAATATTGTAAAGGGGAATCGATATTTTTTTCTATGTACGTTTAGGGGAGAGCGGTGGATATGATCCGGGGAAGGGGATTGCAATCCATCCCCCCCCCCCCATCTCTTGGAGAGAAACTTGCCTTTGACCTAAAGACCTTCACATTCAGCATGTCACCACATGTAAGCTTCTATGTCACCTTCGGTCTCACCAAGCCACTATAGGTGTCACCACCAGTCTCACCATTAGATACATCGAGTCATTCATGTCACCACCATACTAAGGGGTCGGCGTGGTCGGGTCGGTAAAGCTTTATGGCTGCTAAGCAAGTCGCGAGTTCAGACCTCCACGCAGATAAGGCTCGATAGATGGGGACAGCAACCCATCTAGGAGAGACAACTCTAAAATCAAACGACTGTTGTCTTGTGGTTAATTCTTGGTTGAACAAAGGCTATGGAAGTAAATACAAAAAGAAAAGCAAGCTGAAATCGGAGTAAACCGCCTATATAGCGCATATCATGTTAACACGTAATACTAATGTATTGTGTTGGAGGATATCCCATCAATGCATTACAATAAAGAACGATGATAAAGACCACCTAACGTGTGCTGTTTAACCACCATTTCACTTCCCACACAAGCGCCGCGTTAATTAAAACCACCCCACACATACACTTATTACTCCCCCGCCCCCATCTTCATTCGTTCCTCCTCCCCCACCCTCACCTATTCATCCCCCACCCTTATTTTTCATCATTGACACTAAGACCAAAATTACCTTAAACCAGCCATATTTTTAAAAAAAATCTAGTTGCACAGTAAAGAGTGAAATGATATTTCATCTGTCATATTTAAACTCGTTGAATATGTGAAAAAACAACGTTGGACGAGGGACTATAGCGCCAGAGGTTTCAGCAGGTTGGTACCCGCTAGGCATTGAATTAGGTTCAAGTGTTATTACAACGAAGTAACCCCTCAGCCACGCTTCCCTCAATACAGAAGGAGCTTTTCTAGTTTATAACCACTGAAAAAGAAAAGACTAGGTTATTTTTAGTAACATAGTAATATCTATTACTAATTTCTATTTTTAAATATTGTAAAGGGAAATAAATCTAGATTTCTTAAGTTTTTCAATAAAACCATGAATAACATCCCTTTGTTCGTAAACTGAAAAATAAATTCTTGTGAAAAACAACACAAAGTATATTAATAAGCAATCCTCTTCCATTTAATTAAAAGAGTGAAAAATAAATCATTAAAACTTCATTACAAACATAATTATAAATCAATCCAAATTATTTCTTTTTTAAAAAATTACAATTCTAAATTTAAAAATGGAAGATATGTCATAGAAAAAGGTAAAGGGCTTTATATGTTTTCCACATTATGGAATGAAGGTGACATTAATTGAATAATGTAAGTTTCTTAAAACCTTGCAAAAATACCAGAGCTAAAACAAACATAACAAGATGGCTCCCAGGATTTAAATAGGTTAATGTTGATAATATACTTGACCTTATGTTCACACAATCTGGGTTAAAAATAGTATACAGCCTTGTAGGGAAATGTACAGTGCAGCTATACTTGCAGATTTGGTTGAGGGATGAGGTATAGTTATCAGACAGAAGAAGCAACACTAGCATGGATTATTTATACTAAGTTTGTGTAAGCAGCGCTATCCTAACCCTAATCTTAATTCCTCTCCTGACCCCATCCCTAATGTTGTTATTCATAAAATCTAATCCTGACCCTAATCCTTTACATAATCCTTATTCTAAGCCTATTAACAAGCAGTAGTAATAATTTGATATGGCAGAGCTACAATAACATTTGTATTATTCTTATATGAGCCAAAATAGGGTTAAAACACCACACAAAAAATAACAAGAATATATTAAGAAAATAGTTAACAATAGAAAACATTTGTATAAAATCATAAGTCATCCCCACTGAAATACTACTTCATATAAATTTTTTAAATGCTTGAATTGTGACTTCCAGGATACCAACTTTTTAAAATACAACTTACCTGATTACTAATTACAAACTGAATGGGGATATATATATATAGGTTTATTAAAGTTTATTTTTGGTAAAAGGCTAAACTATATTTTGATTCCTTAACTTAAAAAAAATTAATTAAAATTATTAAAAAAGTTTCTAATGCGGTAAATAACTGCAAGTATATTGGAGAAACACACTTTAAAACTTTGTGGAATGAAATAAGCTTGTAAACTACTGAAAGGCTAGAGGGTTACTTAGCATGAAAGTAAGGCTCGATGTGTTTCAGGAGTTACAAAAAGGAAATATAGATAACTGTATCTAGGGTGGTCTCCCATTGATATCACACTCTTGTAGGATGCCAGAATTGTGAGTGTGTGTGTGGGATGAGGTGAGGTGTGGCACAAAAAAATTGTAGAAAACATTTCTTCTGTATTAATTTTAAGACAGATTTGGTTAAAATCCTGTTAAGTTTCATTAGAATTATACAGTGGAGAGGGTCGGGGGAGGAACTCCGTGAAGTAAGTTTAAGGTTAAGGGGGTGGGTTGGGCTTTGATGATAGTGGAGAAAAATAGGGGGGGGGGGTAAAAACATTAAAAAGTGGATGACCCCATTCATTATCCAATTGGATAATCTTATAAAACATGGATAAAAAAACTTTCTCCAGTTTACAAAAAAATAAAATAAAAAATGTTTTAAATTTGAAGGCAAATGACTTATTATCTATATATCGCTTATATGTTGATATAGATTTAATATAAAATCCTGACAACATTGTATACCTGAAGTGGCCCGATTTTTAGTTTCTACACAAACACTGTTACAGTACCCTGCCATATAATGCTACATAGTTCATGTCTATTTGTAAACAAAATAGTTTTTAGTAAATACAAGATTTATGAAACAAATAAAATGTTATTAAAAAAAATCCAATTTTTAAAGCGGCTATGTAGAAAATGCTTTTCTTACAACTTTTATAAAGAAAGTTTCAAGATTTTGCAATAGGAAGTAGCAGCTTAAAAAAAGTAAAAATAAAACTCAAAGCACAACAAGCAATTAAAATGAACAAAATGTGTGTTAATTATGCTAATTTTAAATAATAGGAATACAAAAGGAAAATACTACAAAATAATAAAAAAAAATACATAAAAATAAAAAGGAAAAAGAAGAGTAGTTAGCAGAAAACTTTATCATTCTTCAAACAGTTAGCATAAATAATATGCTTGATTACAAAGATTATATAACAATTATTTTAAAACCACTGAGCACACAAGTTTTTAAAAAATCGGTAAAAAGAGCTGCAACCAGGGGAGGTAACTATAAGAAGCAAAGACAACCTCAGCAGAAGCAACCAGCAGATGACATACACCAACAGCAGTTGGACAAACTGTGCACTGAAGCTTGTCAAGTTCATAACAAATGGTGTAATAAATTTTATCGTAATTAATTATCCTATAATTTAATAAAAATAATGTGTTTTAAATACACTATAATATAAAGGTAAGTGTTTATTTTTAATTTATAACAAACGGTGCAATTAATCTTACTGTAATTAATTATCCTAACATCTAATAAACTAATTTAAAAAAAAAATATATAATAAAGGTATAAGTTTATTTTTAATTTATAACAATTATATTGATTTATATTTATTTAATAATGGCAGTAGGCCTATTTTGCATATAGGCCTAATATATATTTGAATTTTTAAAAAAAATAACATTAGTCTACTAATCACAGTCATAAAAAAAACAAAAATTCTATCAGACTATGCTTTGTAATTAATTAATAATGGCAGTAATTAGTCTACAGGCCTATTTTATATTTGAAATTTTAAAAAATATAACAAGTCTACTAGTCATAAGTTGTGACAAAACAAAACTTTCTATAAGGCCATGATTCGTAATTAATTAATAATGGCAGTAACTAGCATACAGGCCTGCTTTACATTTGAAATTTCTTTTAAAATAACAATAGTCTTCTTATCACATGACCTAAGAAAACCAAATGTTCTATCAGACCAAGAACGAAAGAAAACCGTTTATTATTGTGGCATCTTTAAAAAAAAACACAACACAATGTCATACAAATGTCAGGGTAAAACAATAAATTTCTGTCCCGGACAGACCATACACGCCCACATGATAAATAAATATATCACTTGCTCGTTGCGGTAGCACATCAGTCCTATATGTAACTCAACAGGTTGTACAATTTTATACTCTAGGAAAGACAAGAATCCCTTCATTCACAACAGTTTCAAGCTTTCATAAATGGTATCAAAGTTATTTTAAAAATGTTTTTCAAAAAATCTAAACCAGACCAGCCTGGGGTTTCAACAGCAAGTTACCTCCCTTGAAATTAAAATTTCCTAAAATCACATTACTATCTATGTTCATTGGGCGTAGGAAAACATTTCAAGCAAAAGCTAAAATTATTATGACAAAAAATGGACATTAAAATAAAAAGCGTGTCAACATTTCTCTTAACAATCTTTCACGTCAGAAAAATATTAGCTTTACTATTAAAATATAGTAAAGGTGATTCGCTTGATATTCTAAACATTCATATAACGTCATTTTAAAATTTTAAAAAATTCATCCATCACTCAAACACTAACAAGCTGCATAAACATTAGACAGACTGCAATGTTTTATGTCTGTGGGTGGGCGACAGGGGTTGTTGCCCCTGATTGGGCACGTTAGAGTAGTCTTTCTTGATCTCAATCTCCATGTCAGTCCTTGCTTTGTTGACCACGGGGTGCTGTGCGTACAAGTAAGTGGCCAAGCTGACTATAAAGATGGCCAGGATTGTGTACAGATCCACAGGGATGCCAAAGATCATCCAGCACAGGACGGCCGTGAACATGAGTTCCAGAGCGCTGGCAAAAGTTTTTAGGATGGAGTTTAGGCTGCGTAGGAATAAGCTGGTGACAATGCCGATGGCGGCGTTGTTGCATATGATGGCCAGGACATTGGGCTGCATTATAGACATGACTTCATTGTAGCCGAAGGCTTGAATTAAATCTCCTAAAGAAACAAAACAATTATAGACATGACTTCATTGTAGTTGAAGGCTTGAATTAAATCTCCTAAAGAAAGAAAACAATTATAGACATGACTTCATTGTAGCCAAAAGCTTGAATTAAATCTCCTAAAGAAACAAAACAATTATAGACATGATTTCATTGTAGCCAAAAGCTTGAATTAAATCTCCTAAAGAAACAAAACAATTATAGACATGACTTCATTGTAGCCAAAAGCTTGAATTAAATCTCCGGAAGAAATAAGGGCAATATGACAACATTAAATGTTTAAAATAAAAAACTTTTTTATCATCCTCTAATCACATTGTGTTTATATAAAAGTGTATGCTTGTTGTGAGAAAGTGGTTTATTGTGGAAACTGTGGTTTATGTGGTAGAGTGACTTAATAGTGTGATGCAACACATCACAAGGCCGAGGTGGGGTGTGTGGACTGAACCTGGTGATACCATCAAAGGGGGTGACAACAAAACAAAACAAAATAGCAAACTTTGATAAAAAAAATCTGCATTTCTAATTTCTTTTAAGTTACTATTTTTACAACCACTTCTTTAAAATACAAACGGACATACAAAACTAAATTCCTAAACTAGTGAGAGCTAATGGATTACTGTGTTATTTAACAATTCTTTTAATAACCACAAACCTATAAACAACAACACAACATGTAAGACATATTGAATCAAAGTAAAATGGATTATAATGTCACATTTAAAATAATAATAAAGATTAAGTGAAACTAGCAGTGTTTTCCTTTTTCCTATTGTGTAAACCTCTCATGCGGCCTAAGATAAAACAGAGTTAAAAAAATACGGTATATTAAAGATTCCTTATTAGACCTAACGATCCATTGGACAGATGAAGAGGAGTTCATATGTTTCTTGACCTCTGCATTTAAAGGGATAATGTGGTCAGCACTATACCCAGCCACTTTTACTTTCCCTATTGTGAGTTGGGTGTACTCAGGGACATTCAACTAACTTGAACCCAGATTCAAATTCGAAACAATCGGGTTAGCAGTCTAGGGCTCCACTGCTAGGCCACGCCGTCCCATAAAATACAGAATTTGGCTAAATGTTAAATCACTTGTTCCCACTCTTTAACATTTACTCTGCCAGGTTCGCACAGTAAAAAGATAGTTTTGTCACACTGCTATAGGGCAGCTATTTTTGTCACACTACTTCAATTTGACTATGTCACACTGATACAAGGTGGCCTCCATTGCACAGCGTGTCAGCATGGTCTAAAAGAAAAATGTAAAAGAAAAATGTGCATGCAGAAAAGTGCACCAACAGAAAAAAAGTGAAAAATACAAACTCATTATACAGAACCAATACACTTTCATTAGATCATATATCATGGAAAATTTTTGATTATGCTATAATGTAAGTCTACATCATTCTATTCAAATGACTGTTTGTAAAGTTTTTTCAGTTGCGTATTCTTCTCTTGAATAGTTTTTCTAGACACCCTATAGCATCTACTCACCCTTAAACGCCAGCACACATATATTACACACGATGGAGTTCAAGTACATAAACACATTAGCCATCATGATGTGCACATCCACACCTGTGTCCTTCAACAGAAACTCGTTGTATACACCGGCTATACAGGAGGAAAATACCTGAGAAATCAAAAAAAAATTTTTTTAATCATTTGCCCAGACGCAAGTTGTAAATGGATATGTTTGAATTTGTATTTGTCTTCAGTCTGCAAATGATTAATAAATTTGAAAAAGAAAACAAGTATACAAATCTTAAGCTTTTAAATGCACTGAAAACAAGAAAACAATAGTCTCAAGAAGTCTCAGTAATATTTTAGCGACCCCCTTATACAGAAACTGTGACATGAGTAAAACACTATACAAACTGCTGTCAATATTTAGAACTGATTATACATAACAGAATAAATATATGATAAAAGTTTAAATGTTTAAGTGAAACAAAACTAGTTGAAACCATAAAGATCTTAGATCTGTTTAGCTTAACCTCATCATGGGATGTCCACATGCAAATCTTTAATTCCATTATTAATTTATTTATTAATTAGTTAATTTAACAGAAGAGGTTTTAAAAAAAAACGTTGGCTCATACTTGGTTTTTATTTCAAATTTTTTATGTTGAAAGAGTATATTTAAATAATCTGTTTTTTTTTAAAAATAATTTGTGTAAAATACTGTATATAATTGCTTTATTAACCAACATAGAAGATAACTAATATTTTTTTCAAAAAGTTGACTGAATGGGCTTAACAAATGATCAACTCATACAAACAACTAATACAATTCTATCTCAAATTTACAAGAGTTTCAATTTACCTGGAAAAATATAAAAAGTAAATGAATATCCAGGTAATCCATGAACGAGGTTGGACCCACTTCCTTGGCCTGGGCACTGGATACATCATGGCGGACCTCTTTGATGATGCAGCCGATCGTCAAAATAAGCAGTGACGCCCACTGAATGCAGCTGAGCTTTTTCTTGAATATCACCTGTTAGATGTTGTATATAAAACATTTATAACGACAATATCACCTGTTAGACATTGGATGTAAAAAGTTAATAAAAACAAAATCAATTGAGGCATTGTAGAACTGAAACATTTAAAGAAACCCAGGTTTAAAGTGAATTTTGTCTAAAAATTGTTTTATAAAAAAAAAATTTGATAACATCAATGGAAAAATAAAATATACCTGCCTATTTTAAAAGAAGTAAAATACATTTAATTTCTTTTGCTACTTTCATTTGAATAGTTAAAGCAAGTTTGATAAAAAAAAATGTATTGATATAAAAATAAATTGTAACATATTTTAAAAACATAAAATTTTGTTTTTACTATTTTTATTTATACTTTCCCATAATAATTGATTCAAGTTTTTAGAAGTAAAGTTATGATAAAAATAAATGATATGCCTAAACTACAAAAGGTTGATATCTAAGTGACCTAGTTTTCTCAGAAATCTATAAATAGAACGGGAGGAACAGCCTACCTGGAATACAACACCTGTCACCACCACTCTGAACTGGAGCAGCAGGTAATATGTGGTGGGGTCATAGGCTGACAGGTTGACAAACTGAAGGTTGTTGTAGAGGCAGTAGAGCGCAGCAGGAATAAAATACAGACAAAGCACTGAAACATTGGCACAAGGGGGAATTAGTTTTTGCTTATGTTATCAACTGCAAAGATGTGGACCATACTAAAAACCAACTATTTTATATATACTAAACAGTCATGGTTAATTAATAACACTAAGAAGTTGGTCAACATCTTCTTCCGTTGATGCCAAAAGTTACAACAGACCTGTATAATTCAATTACCTCGACATACAAAAAGTGCTACCATGGTCAGCATTATGCCTAGCTACTATAATTTCCCTAACGTGTGTCAGGGTCCTAAAACTAATACAATACCAAACACCCCACACATTTCCACACCAACACCAAACCAAATACCCCACACATTTCCACACCAACACCAAACCAAACACCCACACATTTCCACACCAACACCAAACCAAACACCCCACACATTTCCACACCAACACCAAACCAAACACCCCACACATTTCAACACCAACACCAAACACATTTCCACACCAACACCAAACTAAACACCCTACATATTTCCACACCAAACACCAAACCAAACACACAACAGGTCCCTACACCAAGACAATACAAACCTATTCATATTTCTATACCAATGATGGAAAGCCCTCATTTAAAATACAGCATACAGCTCAAATTCACCAGACAACACATCTCATTCAACTTTGGGCTTATTAAATTCTTACACAACTCATTACACAAAGCAGCACAACAGTGTGCCATTACATTCTTACATTACATTACAAAGAGCAGCACAGCATTACATTCTTACACATCTCATTACACTATACAGAGGAGCACAGCATTGTGCCTTACCTCTTTTATACTTCACCAGGTCCTCAAACAGGCTTACAACTGAATGACTGGGGACAAAGCAAAATGGGTAAGGTATTAAGTTACAATAGAAGCCATAACCTTACCTGGATATGGAGGTGGAATAATATACATGCACACAATATATCTATCTAGTTCTCTTTATATATCTATCTAGCTATCTATATCTATCTGTCTGTCTATCTAACTATCTACAAATATATATATATATATATATATATATATATATATATATATATATATATATATATATATATATATATATATATATATATATATATATATGTATATATACTTTAAGCTTAGAGCACCGTTTATTATTAGTGTATAAATATAAGTATTTTAAAGGCAGTATTTCAAAGACAGCGTTTCAAAGAGTTAGCACTGCAGACAATCTGAACAAAGCATTCCTCACTCTTTAACAAAGAGAATGGCAGCCACAACAAGCTTGAGAGTCTCTGTGAGCAAGACAACTGTCACGATGTTGTATTTGTAGGTGTTGTCTTTTGATTTGCTGGCTGTCACTAAGATACCTGGGGAAGACAGAATGGGAAACAATGGTGTAGAGATAGATGTATGTACTGAATAATGTGAGTATGTAAGAGTGAGCATGGCTGGTGTGAGGGTGTGTCTGTTGTTACACTTTGGGAGGTTATCTGTGATGTTGGGATTCGTCAGTGATGGTGGGTAACGGATATTTGCATAGATGGTGATATGTGGGGTTAATCTTCAGGTGGTGTCAATAATGTTGTGGGTGTCCCTATTTGTGTGGTGTCAACATTAGTTGGGTGTCAACATTTGTGTGGTATCAACACATTTGTATCTAGTGTATAATGATATGACTTGTGTACAAGAATCTATATATATAATTCTCGTCTGGGAGACGCTAGAAAACAAGCTGTAAACGCGCTCCCTACCACCCCCACCCCTACGTGGTCTTAGTGAGCTGTGTTCACTCTAAATGTTTACAAGCAGAGCCGGGTTTAGTGACGACTATTAGGGGCAGATAAATTAGTTTGAAACTATTTTAAACGTAGGGGGGGGGGGAGGAAGGGGGGTTATGGTCCTTAATGTGCTACTTATAGTGTTTTAAAGAAATATTTTCAGTGTCAGCATTGGTACCGTCGAATTCACAAATTATGAATTACTGAAAAGTAGAAAAACAACAACTAAATAGCGGCGTATGTTATGCCGCGGGCCGGCTCGTATAAAATAATACAAACAAGTCACTAAACTACCCCTGTTATAACTGGGGTGCCATGGCACAGAGCAGATAAAGTTTAGTTTTTATTTTAAATATGGATTTGTCCATCAATCTACTTTTGTATTGTATAGTCGTAGGTTAGATATACCATACTAGTTGTTATACCAATGGCCCTATTGTGTTTGATTGTAATCTCCTTAAGCAAATACAAATTTAAATAGTTAAGGATTAGTGTTCTGGTAAGTTTCTCTCAGAGGTACAGGTCAGATTTAATGTATTTTTAGGTTAGGGAGCATGGGGTCAGTCAGGGGATTGGGTTAATTGCTGCTAAAACTGTGGCCAGGAGAATAGAGTCAGACGAACACTAGTCTTGTGGCCATGTGGGACTGTGGTCTTGTATATCATTTGTTACAATCGATATAGGTTCTGAATATAACAGTTTCTTAATTGAACTTGTGTGTTTTGTATTGTCAATATGTCTACATCCTTCTAAATTACCACCCAACTCATCAACTCACAGTACTAGTTATCAACACTATCAACCTCATATCAACATTATCACCTCACGCAGTCATCAACACTATCAACATCATCACCTAAAATGACTGAATAACAATCAGCGCAATAAATATACTACATGCTAAGTGTTCTCAATTCAGCAACATGTCAATGTCAACATTGTGTCTATGTCAGCAGTGTGTCTATGTCAGCAGTGTGTCTATGTCAGCAGTGTGTCTATGTCAACATTGTGTCTATGTCAGCAGTGTGTCTATGTCAACATTGTGTCTATGTCAGCAGTGTGTCTATGTCAGCAGTGTGTCTATGTCAGCATTGTGTCTATGTCAGCAGTGTGTCTATGTCAGCTGTGTGTCTATGTAAGTGGTGTGTCTATGTCAGCAGTGTGTCTATGTCAGCAGTGTGTCTATGTCAGCAGTGTGTCTATGTCAGCAGTGTGTCTATGTCAGCAACATGTCTATGTCAGCAACATGTCTATGTCAGCAAGATGTCTATGTCAGCAGTGTGTCTGTGTCCGCAGAGTGTCTGTGTCTTATAAGTGGGCTGATCAATTAAAAAAATACAATTAACACTGGAGGTGACAGGAGCTGGCTAATTAAAACCTGAGGAAGTCAATAATGCATGTTCAAACTTACACAGGTCGACGTCTTAAGCTTTCACTTAACGACATTATAGTGTTGAGGGAAGGTGATTCAAGGCTATTGTTTTATTTGACCCAAGTTTTGTTTTGGGGAGGTGGGAGGTCAATGTTATGTGGAGGTGTCAGTTTGGCTAAACAGGTCAATGTTATGCTATGGGGAGTAGTGGCTAAGTTAAACAGATCCATATTATACTATGAGGATATGAGGCTTTTGTGTTACGTGTTCACTGGAAGTGTAGCTAACAATTCAAGTTAAAACTAACAGAAAAAACAAATATGAAGTAACAAAACACAAAATAAACTTTGCTAATGTGGGAAAAAAAAATTGTAGTTTCTACTTTTGAAAACCAATCGTTGGGAGTTATCTCCCCTGAAATCTAAAGTCAATAAAATGTAAAGATAAAGAGAGAGGCAGGGGACAGATGTACAAGCTGATACTGTTGAAAGAATTTCAGATTAAAACATCACAGCTTGGCAACAATGGCAGGTAGTAATCCAGCGCAGGGAGATTAGGGTTTGTTGATGTTTCACGATCAATACTGAAACCATCAATAATTTGTGTAACAGACCTGCTTAGACTTTTTTTTTAAGCAGACCTGAGGTATAGAGTGGTTGCCAGGTATAGCCCCAGCTGTTGGTCAGCCAACAGTATATACCAGCAACAATTGTAGACACAGCTTCAAGTATAGATCGGTTACCAGCAATAGACCAGCTACCAGTATAGAACAGCTACCTGTATAGCCTAACTATAGATCAACGACCTGTATAGACCCAGCTTTAGACCAGCTACCTGTATAGACCCAGCAATACAGCTAGATGTATAGCCTAACTATAGACCAGCCATCTGTATAGGCCCAGCTTTAAACCAGCTACCTGTATAGGCCCAGCTATACAGTACCTGTATAGCCTAAATATAGACCAGCTACCTGTATAGCCTAACTAAAGACTAGCTACCTGTATAGACCCAGCTATATATCAGCAAACAATGGACACCAGCGAGAAAAGTCTCAAAGGTATTTGAGAGGTGTATAAATTCATTAAAAAATCATGCACAGCGTATTTACAATTAATATGGTTATAAAATCCTGCCTGTCTGGTTTTTTTCGGACTTTACTAAAGATTGGATGTATTTGATGTTTATAATATTTTCGGTAACTAAATAAAAATTTAAAAAAAAGCAAAAACAATTTGGTTTTCACGTGTAATGGCGACATAAACATGGCATCCTGCTATTGGATAGGCTGCCATAGATTTTATTGTACACATTGTAAGCTAAAAATAGAAAACTAGGTCATGGGGTTTTAAATTTGCATTGTAATTTAAAAACTTGATCTGCAAAGTTTTGTAAACAAATAGTTATCGATTACTAAGTTACTGTACAGCCAATCAATATTTGTCTTACGAAAGTGAAACATCCGGTTATAACTTAGGCTTGATGAAAATAAATAGAAATGTAGCCTTAAACTCAACAAATTATTTTCAAGTTCTCTGGATTTGCAACTTTTATAGCATTTATTCTAAGAATATAAAATTTCTAAATTAATTTTAGGCTTAAGTTTTTATTTTTTATTTTTTTTTACGGTCTAAATCTAAAAAGCACGTTTTTATTCCATGACAACAACATTATGGAAGGAATCTCGTCAACTCGCTCGCCTCCATTGAGACACAGCTATAGACCAACTACCAGCTCTAACCACCCCCCTCCCCTTTTGCTTACCATCCACCAATTATAGACTTAACCATAAATAAAGGGTCTTTGCCTCCAGGTACACACCTGTAATACTACAATGATGATTATTATCCTAGCATTCTGAAAATAATGGAGTCTAAATATATTTTTCCTTTGTCTTCAAAACATGCAGAAAATACATTTTAGAAAAATATTACTTTGTTTTCATTTGAATAATTTATAAAATAAAAATTATAATAATATAAATCTCAGAAGTTTTAGGCCTATATATATATATATATATATATATATATATATATATATATATATATATATATATATATATATATATATATATATATATATACATACATATATACATATTTGTTTATACAGTATGATTATAACTGTGTGGGAGAATGATGTATCAGTGTGGGGGGGCAGGGGGGGGGGGAGTGATGTGTTTGTGTGTGTGTGATGTATTAGTCTGTGTGGTTCAATGACTGACAGCTGTGTTTGTGTGGGTCAACGACTGACATTGCTGTTATCGTGTGTAGGTCAATGACTTATCCTCTTATCCTAAATCTTTGCTGTTCATAGATATATAAAGAAAAAGAGAAAACATAAAGCACATACCTAATACTAATCTAAGAACAAACTGCACAATTTCTATCCAAATAACAAAACCTTAATCCCTGTATTGAACCTCTAAGTATCACCAGATAGCCATTAAGCCAAACCTAGCCATACAAAGATATTCCAAGGCTAAGGCAAGATTAAAATATAATGTTACATCCTACACTAAATCAATTCTTGCATTCTTGTTGCACTGAAACTTTCAATACATTCAATAAATAAGTAAAATACTCTAAAGAATAAAACAGATGGACGTCTATTGAACTGGTACAGTTTTAAACCAGAGAGTTCATAAATTCCAACACAAACTGCAGTAGACTATAGTTGTTTCAGGTACATGATCATTTGAGTAGATGTTTCAACAACTGCTTTAACAAACAAACATGAACACAGCTGTTGTTTTTTTATAATAAAATCCAATCTAATAAAACTATTTAAATCCCATTATTTACTCTACTTCACCTGATAAACTGAGGTTGTATGGTTAGTGCAGTTTTACAACATTACTTGATTACTGAATGTATTTTAAACAGAGAAGGTGTAAGGTACTAGAAAACTAGACATAGACCTATAGGCTAACCAAAATACAGGTGGAATTAAGGATAGTGCCAATGTGGAAGAAGGGTTGACTTTTAGTAGTATACACAAACACAAATCACCAATTTCAGAAAATATAAGTGAGAAAACTTTAAGAGTAAATAGTTCTTGATTTCTTTTTAGACAGAATAAACACATTTTCCCAAGCAGACTTCTACAAGTATATTTAAATGTTATCTTCTCTGTAACATGACATTATAAACCTGAAATCAAATTCCTGACATGTGTAAGGGAGATAATTGATAACCAAGTTAATAACTTCATCAAAGCATTGTAAACACCTTTTTGCATTTTAAAAATGTTATGTTAGTAATGAATTTTAGTTGTTATTTTGCACATCCAGAAATCTGTTTTGGTAAATTGTAATAGAAATTGATTACTATTGATATTATATGCTATATTTAATATTGTCAATATTTGTCGTAAGAAATCCATGTAAAAAATAATTAAACTGCAATTTTGAGGGGGTTGAAGGCTGATGTTTGGTGTTATTTTAGAAGGGGGGTCTGGCATTTTATAAAGTGTGACAGAGGGGAGGGGGTAGGTAAAAACTGTCAAAATAGTGTGTCGTCATGTGCTTATAGTTCTATAGTTAGACCTATAATTACTATACTTAATGTAAACTGCAAGTCAAATGTCAAATACTAATAGGGATAAGAAAAGAATATAATTGATAATAGATCTAGGCCTTGAAGCCTAGAGAGTAATTTACAAATTTAGTTGTAGAAGTGGTAGGCCTACAAAATAAAATTTGCATAACTTTAAAATATTTTAATGTAGGCCTAGGCCATATTTCGTTTGGTTAAATTTAAATAATATAAATAAAAAATATTGATCTACTAAAGGTAGTCTAGATCTAGTAATTTGTTTATGCCATTTTGTTGGTTTTTGGGCCTCTACAATTCATCTTAATTATAATTATAATATATTTCTTAGGCATTCTTATTTCTTAAAATCTAAGCCGCTAACCTGGCGCCCTAGCCTAGGGCAGGGCTATAATACTTTTTTACTATAATATTTATATAGATCTAGGCCTAGATCTAGAATCTAGGTCTAATTAAACAAAATAACCAACTTAGAATCTAGATCTAGATTCTAGATCTAGATCTATTCTTCTATAGCCTACTAAAAAACTAAAAGAAAACTTAAAATAAAGTTTAAACTCTTTTTTCGGAGGGGGGGGGGGGGCATTCAAAATATTAAAAATATTTTTTTTAGATTGACCCAAGACAAAAATTTGCTTACCTTGATTTATAAACAATCCCATGTATGTAATAAATACAACGAAACTCAATTTCGTTGGGAAAAGCTCAGCGGATATCAAACCCATTTTGCCGTTCTTTGGAAATCGAATTAAATTTAAAAAGAATTCGCGAGGTTTAATAAATATCAAAACTGTGTTGCCAAGAAGCCTATGCATCCGCTTATACTTTTTAGTTTACATCGACATTCACAAGTTTTACAAGTGGCCTCCCCTAGAACTTGAACCTACACCTACCGTATATGTGTAGTTAAGTGCTTGGTTCGGGAAAACTAGATATAGATTTTCTAGATCTGAAAATATAAAACCCAATAGATCCAGGCACCATATGAAACTATATGATTAAAAATCGTATTAAGTTGCAGTAAATGCGTTTGTGTTCACGCTGAAATAATTATAGCATATTTATTATATCTGCCATGGCTGTAGCTTTTTATATGAAGTTATTATTTTTAGATCAGAGCACTTGGGTCAAGGTTAGACGCACGCCATTATTAAAAGATGGCCGAAGGAAACAGGAAGAACGACTCAGAGAAAGAAAACAACGATAGAAATCACTCGTTGCCTGTTATTGGAGAACACTATTTGGTAAAAAGGTGTGATAATTCACTCCATGCAGCTGAAATAATTCAGATTAGACAAAGTGAAACTGGAACACAAGAATTGTATGTGCACTATGAAGGCTTTGATAGGAGACTTGATGAATGGGTGGACTTGGACAGGTAAACAAACTTTTCACTTTTGGTTGCAAATGCAAACCACCATTCTTCTTTTTAAAGAATTTTATTTTTTTAAAAAGTAGAATTTAATTCTAGATCTAGTAAAATACTATCCTGTCTATACTATAAAAGAGTATAGGGCAGGCCATGGGTCTCCAAACTACGGCCTGCAGGCCGGATCCAGCCCGCGAAGATCTTTTTGTCCACGGAAAAAACGTTTGTTGGTGATGGCTGAGGAACTTTGCCTAGAAAAAATTCAAAAATCAAAGACATATCTGGAACTAACTGCCCCCCCCCCTCCCTAACTATCAATTTTAGTTAATGCGGCCCTGGACTGAAAAGTTTGGAGACCCCTGCTATAGCGTCGGAAATTAGGCTATCCGATGTTGAGTTTTGTAAACTACTGTAAGACTTTATTTGACCGTTGAAATAAAAACAAAGTCAAGTGCTTTAAATTAGTGATTTAATTTAAAGTTTAATTGTCAAAAAATTAGCAACAAGAGCCTAAATTTAAATATGATTATTATTAGTATTAAAGTCAAGTGTTGTATTTAGTTACTAATAGTTAGGCCTAATGTTTGGCCATTTTTAGCTGGAAAAAGATATGCATGCGCAATGGAAACTACAGCTTTCCTGATGTTTTTGATGGTACTGCACATGCATTTACCAACAATCTGCAGAACCCTAGCTCAGCTATTAAGGTCAATGCGCATGTGCAGAACTATCTTTTGCCAACCAAATGGAGATGCTCTGGGGGAAAAAATCTTTTTTCTGAGTAGTCACTTCATTAATGTTTCTTTTAAGAATCACAGAAAAAAAATGTGCAGAAGATTTGTGACAACTAGGTCTAGTAAAATAACATGGATTTCCTAAAGTTAAAATTAGTAAGTAGAACTAGAACAATGTTTAGTAGCAGCAATAATTAAGCACATACACTTAAAATAATTAGAAATACAAAATAATTAGCAAAACAGTATTTAAAATCCAACTAAAATCAATCTATGCACATTTTTAAACATTATGTATTAAAATTAATATGCCGTGAAATAAATGATGGTTTACAGTATTTCCAGTCGTTTCTGGAACGGCTTGACAGACTACTGTTTTTTTACTGCTGTACAATTACGGAATAATAACCGACGCTATATCGTGATATTACCCTATATGCCACTAAAGGCTGATTATAGTGCCAATATCAGAGTTGGGTACATGGCTTATAATAAGTTATAATTATATAGTAGTATATATAGGGACATGGACAAATTTTTAGGTCAATTCTAGCTGGAAAAAGATGCGCATAGCTCTACCATTATGTCATAAAAAAATTAGACCTTAGGCCCTAATTAAAATTATAAAGCTACTAGAAAAAATATTTTTATTTTAAAAATTTGTTTGATCGACTAAAAAAAGGAGTAAGAGGGTCTAGTAAGTTTCTTTTACTTAACTAAATGGGTACTATTCATCCAGATTACAATTTAGGCATGAATTCATCTGTGTCTTATCTTTGTTGACTAGGTTGGACTTGCAATCAAAGCTTGAAGACCCACAAAGCAAAAGTGGGGAACTGACCATCTCTCTCTCAGATTTTACTGATGGAACAGACAGAAAGATTACCAGGAATCAGAAGCGCAAGCATGATGAAATCAACCATGTTCAAAAAACATTTGCCGAGATGGACCCCACAACAGCAGCTCTGGAAAAAGAACATGAAGCTATCACAAAGGTTTGTATGTTGTTTTTTTTTTTTTTTTTCAATAGCACTAAAATTTAAATAGTTAAGCTATTAAATTCTTGTTGGTATTGTCTGTATTCACTGACAAAAAGGTTTCTGGTGCTACTTCAAATAACCTTTTAACTGTGTTATTGGCTTGCCGTTTTTTATGTGATATCGTCTAATGCACCAGAACTATAGTTAATATAGGCCTACAGCACCTCAATTTCTGAATAATACTAATAGTACTTTTGCTGGCGCAGAGATTTTTAAAAAGGTTTTATAAGTGGGAAATTGTTAATTTTTAATAACTTTTTTCATGTTATTGATGTTCTATTATAATGATTTTCAATTTTCTAAAAGAATTTTTTGAAGTTAAGAATTTTTTTTCAAAATAAATCTCAAACTCTATAATAAGTGAGATTAAAACTAATTAAAATGTCACTTCTGTAAAAATCTGCCTTCAATTATAATGTAACTAATATAGTGATATCAGAAAATAAAAAAATTCCAGTGACTCTATTGAAAATTTTTATCATTAGAGATTATTTTTCTTGAAATTAGAGTATTACAGGTGTGCCAATTTTTAAAAAAACATATTTTTAGGTTAGATACTTTTTATGCTTGTTTGTAAAATGCCTTTTTCCTGTATAATGCTTATTGTGTTCATTTAATCTTTTTAATGTTATTTTTTAATTATAAATATTAAAAAACTTTTTAAAGTGTCATATCATAGAAAAGAATATAGAACTAATTTGCACATTTTAAAGGTTAAATGTTTTGATTTTTTTGAGTGCTTGATTTAAGAAAAGTCACTGTCAGTGTATGTGCTATAGTAGATTTAAACCTGTTATAATACATTTTATAAGAAAACTTTCAATTTTGTTTGTTTTTTACTTTTCTAGGTGAAGTATATTGACAAAATTCAGTTTGGCAAGTATGAGATTGATGCATGGTACTTTTCCCCCTACCCTGAGGAGTACGGCAAACAGCCGAAGCTTTGGATATGTGAGTTTTGCCTGAAGTACATGAAGCTGGAGAAGTCCTTCCGCTACCACCAGTCCCAGTGTACATGGAGACACCCACCGGGAAAAGAAATCTACAGAAAGGTATACATAACCCATATTAGTATCATTAAAACATGTTTCCTAGCAAAGGTAGGAGGGCAAACATATACCACTTTTAGGTACACATAAGAGACCTAAGAGCATCTACCTCAATGGCTGAGAGGAACAAGATTATAGTTGATATACACTTTGTCATCTTTTTCTTCACTCGTAATTGTAATGTTGGACAAGATTTCCTCCAACACAGTTTAGTATTTCGTCAAAACTTGGTATACGCCATATAGGTTGTTGACTCTGATTTAAGCCTGCTTTTCTCTCTCGATTTGCTTCCATAGTCCAACTAAGAATAAACTGCAAGGCAGCAGTTGTTTGGTTTTGGAGTTTTCTCCCCAGATGGGTTGCTGTCTCCATTTATTGGACCTTATCTGGACAGGGGTTCAAACTATGGACTTTTTGGTTTAGCAACCATGTGCTTTACTGACCCGACCTTGCTGACCCATATTTTGTATGCTCATTACCCTTACATAATAAATAAAAAATGGAAACTTCAATTGAAAAAATTAAGACATTTAGGTTTAATGTTATAATTTATTATAAAATTAATAAATGTTGCAAATGCAAAGATCTTGGTAATATTTTTTTCACGTTTAAGGTTGCAAATAACTAAGACATTTGAAATTTTGGATTTTGTTCTTATGTATCTACTTGTGACGCATACACTGCTTCTTTGACAATGCTTGCGTGTGTTGATTTAGATTCTAATTTAGCTGGTTCTTTCTCATATCAAAACTTATGCGGGTTAAATTATTTGTTGGTTTTTATTATTTTAAAATAAATATAGAAAACCTTAGTAGTATGTGTTAAATGAAAAATATCATTTTAATATTTCTTCCTCCAGGGAACAATTTCCGTGTTCGAGGTTGACGGCAAGGACTGGAAGATTTACTGCCAAAACCTTTGTCTTCTGGCCAAGCTGTTCCTGGACCACAAAACATTGTACTTTGACGTGGAACCCTTCATGTTCTACATCCTGGTGGAGGTGGACCGCTACGGCTGCCATCTTGTTGGCTACTTCTCCAAGGAAAAAGAATCTCCAGACGGCAACAATCTGGCCTGTATCTTGACCTTGCCGCCACACCAGCGCAAGGGTTACGGAAAATTTCTCATTGCCTTGAGCTACGAGCTGTCTATTATAGAAGGGGTGGTTGGGTCTCCGGAGAAGCCTTTATCTGACTTGGGGAAGTTGAGTTACCGCAGCTACTGGACGGCAGTTCTGTTGGACTGTATTTACAAGATGGGGGTCAAGGTCAGCATGAGAGACCTGGAGAAGGTGACCTCCATATCGTACAGCGACGTGGTCAGTACGCTGCAGTCACTCAACTTGATCAAGTACTGGAAAGGGAACCACATTCTGTGCGTGACGCCCAAGCTCATTGAGGAGCTGTATCAGAAGATTTGTAAGAGGCAGAGCGTCACGGTCGACCCCACCTGCCTCAGGTGGGAGAAGCCGGTGGCTAAACCTGCAGTCAAGGTCGCCAAGAGGTGAAGGCCGTCTGGTGACAAGGCAGTTTGAGTCAATTAGAATTCATGTACCGAAAAAGTCTCGTAGATGTCATCGCTGATGGTTAACATGATTGTTAACACGATGATATCTTGTTAGAGTCAATTTTGCTGTAGGGTAATATAGCAGTCAACACGATGTCATTGCGACTTAGATATGACTATGATCAAATCCGATGGACTTGCTTCAGTTACAAGTTCATCTATAAATTTTAAAAAGCTCCATCATTTGAAGTCCAAGTACTCAACTTTTTCATTAAAAAATATGATTTTGCTTCAATTATTAGCTGATCTATTAAAAAGTAAAAATAATGGCTTTACAATTCATTTTCAACATCCTATTGATTATCCAAAGAAAGAAGAGAATACTTTGTTTACCCTGTGTTTATGGGTTTCTCATGTGTGAAGTTGAGATAAAAGGTGTCTAACTCAGTGTACATAGCAATTGTTGTAGTTGTAGAATTAGAACACAAATTGTTGAACAAGCTTCATCCTCATTGTTGTTGGTCTTTTGTACACTTCTGGGCATTTTTTTAATATCAAGAATAAATCAAGTTTCCAATGTGAATATTGTTGTCTTTGTTTGTTTGTTTTGTTATACAGTAGCATGGATAAATATAAAGGAAGCTAAAGAGTCTGACCTGAGTCTTGGATGTTTTTAAACAAAGGATAAACCAGTGGTTATCATTTTAGCAGCATTCATAGGCAGTCAAACTTAATTTAGGACAAACTTTTCCTTCTTTTAAATAGTTACATAAAATAAAATACGTTAAGTAATTTTGTGGCATTAAATTGTAAAAAAAAAAAAGAACAGGCTATCATTATCAAATGTGATAGCAGGCATCAAGATATAATTAGTAATCTTTAAAGTTTCATAATTTACTACATCATCTTTGTCTACATGATTGGACAATGCTGAGGAAGTCAGATTTTGGGCTGTAGGTTTATGTCCAAACTATCTGTGATTGATTTTCAAACTTGAAAGGCTAAGATAAGCTAGCACTGTTAGCTCCATAAGCTTGTTGACCAGCTGCTCAACTACTTCTCATTGCCTTTGGTGAAATGATTCAAAAAAGGCTAAACCAGCCACAACATTCCTCCCTTCATTTGTGTGTGCTATAGTAGAATTACATGTGTAAAGTTTCAGACTTTAAGATCCATAAGGCAGGTCAAGTATCACCACACAGGAAGAGATGGCCGAGTAAACATTAACAAGTCTCAATTAAATTAATCCAGAAATTAGCAAAATTTATATTTTTTGTATGTCATGGGCTCAAAATTATACTTTTTTGTTCGTGCATTTTACTATTTACTTAATAAAAAAAATAAATTAGTATTAAAACAGAGTAGGCTTACTATTAAAATGTTATTTGTTATTTAATTGATATAGCATTTTAAATACAGCTATGAAATTATATGTTTTATTTGTACAGTAGGCCTAGTACTAATAGTAGTGAAAGTTCAAAATAAATAAATGACAAAAGTACAGTCATTGGCTACTGCAAATAAATTCAATATTTTAATAATTTTATTTAGACTAATTGTCTTATAAATGTTGATTTATAAAATGAATCCCCTTAACCTGTCAGTTCTAAATCTGCCTCGGCGTATAATTAAAATTAGCCGTGTACTCATGGAAGACTACTGTTCCATACGATTATTATTATGTCAGAACTTAAAAATGCGAATGGAGTCAAAACTAGATCACGTTCTACCTTCAGATCAATAAAACATGGCGGCCCAAGGCACCTAGCAACGCGTCTAGTGCCTGAGCCTATTTTCGATAACAAAATGGACTATTTTATTGGGATTAAAAGTTGAAATGTTTAGATCTATAACACGAGCATTGTTTTTGACCACGAAGTAACATACTCTTTTTGGATTAAATTTTAGCAGGAAGATATAGACTCTATGATACTTCAGTTCTGCTGAAACGTTTCAAGTATGCCGAAGTCTAAGGGAGGTTAGTCATTTCGTGTTTGTTAACTCCATCGATTTTTTCTTCAGTAGGTTAATAATTATAGGGCCTAATAATAATTTGTCTCAGTACCTAACATTAATATTATTTATAGAAATCTAGCCCTAATTCATTTGATTACTAGATCTAGATCTATGTTTAGATACCGTTTTGATAACAATTTTTATCAAAATGTTTACAATTATCCGTATCACCTATTTAGGCTCTAGGGTTGCCAGATACCTTTTCCGAAAATACTGGACACCTTTCCATCCTTCCCTTCTCAGGTATGCCGCAAAGCAGAAGAAGGGGGGGGGGGGGTAACAGAGTATTATTCATATACTTGTCCAGTATTTATATTTATTTTATCCTGGACAGTCTGCTCAAATACTGGACTGTCCAGTTCAAAACTGGACACATGGCAACCCTAATCACATTGTGGTTCTATATGCTTATTTATTTTTTTAATGACTTTTATAATAGGCAGGGTTTCTCCAGACTTTTTTCCTCCGGGGGGCACTTGAAATTTTCGGGGGGGGGGGGGGGGGTGGGGGGGGGGGGAGAATACTGTTAAAAGTATATATTTTCTATATAAATTTCAATTGGTTCGGAGGGGGGGTAGACTTTCTTGAGGGGGGATGGGCTCTGCCTGGAAGAAACTCTGTTTATAGGGCTAGATCTAGAACCTAGATAGCAATATCAAGTAACGTGGATGACTAAAACCCTAGAGATCTATAGATCTAGATCTAGATATTTCGTAAATATTAATAATAATTTTTTTCTTATTTTGTCAAATTTTTTGTTAGTTAGAACGTTATTGCTTAGTGTTGATTCTCAGAGAGTAACAACTGGGAATTGCAGTACCATTTTAGTCCATGTTAGTTTTAAGAAAATGCGGGCATGGCTGTCCATTGTTTGATATTTTGAAACTAATAACGTTAGGGGATCATCCATAAAAGACTCAATACTTTTCTTAACTATTTATAGCCTCTTCCCTCTGTGATCGTCATGTATCGTTACAGAATAGGCCCACGACCCAAAAGAGGGTGACGTCGTTAATAACGGACCCTACACCATTAGATACATTGCAGAGGCGTAGCTATCCATTTCGGCGCCCGGGGCGAATTATAAATTTTACCCCCTCCCCCCTCCCACTTTGAATATAGCTTATCCACTTGTCGAAAAAGGCCCCCCCTGTAATAGATTGAAATAATTGTGAGGTCAAGGGAACTCACTCTTCTGTATTAGTTATATTTATAATATTGTTATCTTGAGTGATGTCCCTTGTGTACTTCCTTCCGTCCTCTCTGTGTATTACCATCGTGGTAGTTAGACCCATTAAATGTGTTATATACAACCACAGGCTTCTGTCGTCAATCTATTATAACTGGCGACGAAGGATAAACATCTACTAGAAAGAGCACCTAATTACGCAAAAAAGAGGTTTGCTAGAGCTTATTAGCTAATTATTTCTAGAATTATGGCGCTGTATGGCCAAATAAAAGAATTTGATGCGAATGATGAAATCATTCAAGATTACCTAGAGAGGTTAAGCTTTTACCTAGAAGCTAACAACGTGACGATAGAAGCCAAAAAGAGAGCTGTTTTGTTAACAGTCATAGGGCCTAAACAATTTAGGCTACTAAAAGACTTATGCGCACCAGCTAGTCTGACTACCAAGAGCTTTAACGAGCTGAGCAAATTGCTAACAGACCACCATGCGCCTACCCCATCAAAGTTTTTATGTAGAGCTAGATTTGACAGTAGGACTCGTCAACCAAACGAGTCAATATCAGAATATGTTGCTGCTTTACGTCATTTAAGTGAATTTTGTGAATTCGGAGACACGCTGTCTGACAGATTATGTGAAAAGTTTGTGACAGGTGTAAACAGCCCTGATATTCAAAGAAAGTTGCTGCTCGAGTCAGATCTAAAATTGGAAAAAGCAATACAACTTGCAATGTCATTCCAGCAGTCATCAGATACGGCGAGATCTTTAGCACCTTCAGAGATCCATGCAGTAAACAGCAGGTTAGTCAATAAACATCAACCCCATCAGAGCATTCCAACTTATGCTAAACAGCCTGCTCGTTCAAATCCTAGATTTAAATCTAGTAATAATTATCAAAAATGTCATCGATGCAAAGGTCCCCATGCATCTCATCGGTGCAAGTTCAAGTTAGCAACTTGTTATAAGTGCGGTAAGCAAGGTCACATTGCCAAGGCCTGCTTTGCAAAGTCTTCGTCTGTTGCTAAATCTAGCCAGTCAAGACAGTACCGCAACCAAGGGCAGCACTATGTTAACTCTCACCAAGACTACCTAACCCAACCAATGAACCACTCTACCTGTGAAAATGCTCAAATTGATTTGCAGCCGGATTTCAACCTGTTCTCTGTTAAATCAATAAGTCATGCTCCCATCAATGTACCAGTTAATATCAACGGTAAGAGCATCAGCTTCCAACTTGACACTGGAGCATCTCTAACAGTCATCACAAAGAAAGATTTTGACGCTGTCACAGGAGGATCAGTGCCTCTACAGCCATGTCACAAGTGTCTAACAACATACACTGGTGACAATGTTCCGGTAATAGGAGAGTGTATGGTTCATGTAAGTTATAATGGTCAAAGTGTTAAACTTCCTCTTCTTGTGGTTGAAGGAAATGGACCGCCATTACTAGGTAGGAACTGGTTAAGTGATCTTAAGTTAAATTGGGAGAGTATTTGTTCATTGAAGAATGTAAAAGAATCTAGTCTTACTTCACTAGATAAAGTTATATCTGAAAATAAATGTGTTTTTGGTAACTCTGGATTACTAAATGATAGAACAGTGAAGTTAAGCATTAAAGACACAAATCCAAGATACTGCAAAGCTAGAGTTCCACCTTATGCAATGAGGAATAAAATTGAAAATGAGCTAAGTAGATTGGAATCTAATGGCATTATAAAGAAGGTAGACTATTCCGATTGGGCGACACCCATTGTGCCAGTGTTAAAGAAGGATGGTTCTATAAGAATTTGTGGAGATTATAAAACTACACTGAATAAGCAAATAGAGCTAAATAGGTACCCTATACCTAACATTGAGGAAATTTCTTTGAATTTGGCAGGAGGAGACAAATTCACTGAATTAGACTTTAGTCATGCTTACACTCAACTAGAACTGCATCCAGATTCAAAAGTCTATACGACAATAAACACACATAAAGAACTCTACCAATATGAAAGACTATGTTTTGGCATATCATCTAGCCCTGGAATTTTCCAAGCTGTCATGGACAGTATTTTTAAGGATATTCCAAATGTTTGTGTGTATTTTGACAATGTGTACATAACTGGTAAGAATGACACTGAACATCTTAAAACACTAGTTAAAGTCTTGAAAATAGTTGGTGAAAAAGGTTTAAAGATAAACAAAGATAAATGTCAATTCATGTTGACAGAAATTAGTTTTCTTGGTTATATATTGAGCAAACAAGGTATCAGACCTCAACCTGAGAAAACAAAAGCCATTAAAGAAGCAACCAAACCTGAAAATACCCAACAACTAAGAGCTTTTTTGGGCTTGATAAATTACTATGCAAAGCTCATAGGGAATCTGTCTGGTAAACTATCACCACTGTACAAGCTGCTACAGAAAAATGCAACTTGGCACTGGGGTAAACAACAAGAAGCTGCTTTTAATACAGCAAAAGAGGCTTTGTCTGCTGACACCTTACTAACTCACTATGACCCAGGGAAAAGACTTATATTAACATGTGATGCTTCACCAGATGGTGTAGGAGCAGTCTTGTCCCACATGGATGAGAAGGGTGACAGACCCATTGCTTTTGCCAGTAGATCTTTGAACCAGGCTGAGAAAAATCATTCTCAGTTAGATAAGGAAGGCTTAGGCATCATTTTTGGTGTTAAGAAATTTCATAAGTTTCTGTTTGGTAGGAAGTTCACCATCTTTACAGATCATAAACCATTGCTAGGTTTATTTGGAGAAAACAAAACCCTACCTGAGCATGCCTCACCAAGAATTCAAAGATGGGCTATCACACTAACTGCATACAATTATGAATTGAAATACAAACCTGGATCTGAGAATAGTGCAGATAGTCTTAGTAGATTACCTTTAAAAAAACCAAAGCCTGAGCTATGTACCAGAAGATGTATTTGTTCTCTTCACTATCATGGATAACTCCAATATAAATGTGAATGATATTAAAAGAGAAACACAAAAAGATGAATGCTTAATAAAAGTATATGAGTACTGTATGAATGGTTGGCCTGAAGAGTCTGTGAATGATGACTTAAGGCCATATAAAATAAGAAATTAAAACCCTTTGTGAAGATAATATAAAAGATGGAGAAGATGCAGTCCATTATCAGTCAGAGTTGCCTAAACAAAGTATTTGTAACTTAATAAATGATTATGGTGATATGGCAATTTCAAATACATTAGTAAGAAGGAATGTGATCATCAAACAACTTTGCTAACATCATTAGCACTTTCAGAAACTAAAAGGGTAACATCAAAAGAAAGAAAAAGATTTTTGCCATTTAATACTTTCAGATGCCAATTCAAAAATAGTTCCATTAAATCATGACAAAACATTCATTGAAGGAGAATTTGGTGTTAATGAGAATGTGTATCTAAGAAATTATGGGAGAAAGGAAAAATGGATACCAGGTCAAATTGTTCAATGTACAGGACCTGTGTCTTATAAAGTTAAAAATAACTTGTGCAGATAATAAGTGTGAATCTATCAATCCCACCAAATCTGAACAGTTCACACCAACTCAGTTTGTTTCACAACCAAGTTCTGTTGATATGAGTGAACCAAGTTGTCTGGAGTCAGAAAATGTAAATTCTGGAGTTAATGATTTAAATCCTAGACCTCCTGAGATAGAGAATCCAGATGGTCAGAATATTGAGTCACCAAATCAAAAGCCACTGAGAAGGTCAAGCAGGACAATCAAGGTCCCAAATAAGTTAGACCTATGATTTTAAAGGTCAAAAGGACTTTGACATTATTGTTTTGTATCTTGATTATGTTGTAGCATATTGTGCATTGTTTGTAAGGATGTAATCTACCATAGTGTTCGTGTTACAATATAATTGGTGATTTTAGGATACTATCAATTGTTCTATTGAGAGATGTGTTATTGTGTTCTAAGGGTAAAGGGATGTAATAGATTGAAATAATTGTGAGGTCAAGGGAACTCACTCTTCTGTATTAGTTATATTTATAATATTGTTATCTTGAGTGATGTCCCTTGTGTACTTCCTTCCGTCCTCTCTGTGTATTACCATCGTGGTAGTTAGACCCATTAAATGTGTTATATACAACCACAGGCTTCTGTCGTCAATCTATTATAACTCCCCCCCCTAAATTTGGAAACGTCTGGGTGCTTTTATCAGTCTTTTCCCCTTTTTGTTATGGTGTCACACATTTGATGTTATATATATATATATATATATATATATATATATATATATATATATATATATATATATATATATACTCAATGTTCTTAAAGGAGAAGTACCAACCTCTTTAAAATTAAAACTCTAGGGTAACATTGAAATCGGTGCGCACTTTAAAATTAGCAAATTTTTGTTACATCAAGTGGCAAGCGCGATACACTCTAGTAGACTTCGTACGGAAACTTTTAACTTTAACCCCACCAACTCCAGTCAAAGAGCTACCCCTATTTACCACACACAATAATAATAGCCTAGGTTGAAACGTCACACGCTTCATGATTTGCGTATGAAAGGGAAAAAAATTCAGTTTAAATCCACATGCGTTAAAAACGACGGGTCATACCCTGCTAGTGTCGAAGATAAATGGCTATTGTCGTTTGAGGTATCGATTTTTGTAACGGATTTCTCTTCAGGTGGAGCTTGACTCGGCCTGACTTCTACAAAGGGGTAATCGAACCTTGCGTATTGGTATTATGAATCGATTCTTCGGGGTGTTCAATTCCACAGAATTAAAAACCAATTTGAATGTATTCAAGTGGATTTATTTTTCGACTACTATATTGTTGTTTCGAGTGGGATGATGAGTTGGTTTTGCTCCAAGATTTAAAAATTGAAACTAATTCACGTGTAGGCTATTGTGTGTGGGCGAAATATTTTTATTATTGTTTTTAAACAAAGCCATTGTTTATGTTGGAGAAAATTTGACTAGTTCTTCTTTTATTAAGATGTCTTCTATATCGTCATCAGGTATGCTATTAACACAACTATTAAAATTTTTGTTTTAAATTGTAATAATGTTTGTGGTAAAGGGTTTTAAACAATAATTGTACTACTTATATGTTTGTCATAAGTTATATTAATTTTAAACAATATCAAGTAGACATTATATAATATAGTGTATCCTATGTCGTATTTGTATAGAATCAAAATGTTAGCTACAATGTAGCTAAGTATATTGAAGTCAAAAGGAAACGGTGTGGTCGAGCACCTGTAAAAGTTTTAATATTAGGAAAGTCTTCCTTGTCTTTAAGGAGGTCATTTGCTGGGCAACTGGCCACATTTACTTCAATGTTATTTGCACCCAATGCTACATTTTCAGTTTGTTTTGAATTTTTCCTCAGCCACCTCCAACAAACTTTTTTTTTCCGTGGACTAAAAGATCTCCGAGGGCCGGATGAGAGGACCTCACGGGCCGCATCCGGCCCGCGTGCCTTAGTTTGGAGACCCCTGGTCAAAACTGTTAAACTGATCCTTGCGAACAAAAACTATATTTTTTGGTTATTAGAAAATTCGGTTGTCTGGTATAATCTTTTCTTAATTGTAATTATGAACGCAATTTCCCCCAACAGTTATGTATTTGTGGATTTGCTTCCATAGCTAATGTACACACATGAGCAATCTCCAAATTATTGCTTGATTATGTTTAACTGGAGATTTCTCTTCTAGATGAGATGCTGTTCCTAGCTTCGTCTGCCCGGGATCAGAACTCAGGACTGTTGGAGTTAGCTATCATTCGCTCTCCAACTAAACCACGCCGTAATAAAAAACATATTGAAAATCCCGCCAAATACTCCCCCCCCCCCCTCCCTAAATCCCATTGCACCATTTGGGTACTTTTTTAAGTATTTTATTACTTAATTAATTACTTTATTTCAATAATATAATGAAGACAACATTGCTGGACTTTCAGAGTTGATTCCAATCATAAAACCACCTCCACTTGCAAATAATCTACCATGCCAGCAACCTGCGCGCAACTTTTCCACGCAACTGTTCACTCGTCATAGTCCCACTAATCCGGGATTTGCATTCAACGTTTGACAGATTAAGTCGATTTTATACCTCAAATCTCAACTAATCCGTAAATCGTGCGTGTTACACAATAAATAATCTATCAATCAAGTCGCAAGGTAGTGGGCCGTGGGTGCCAGGAATAAGGAGTAGCTCCTGGCTTACTATGTCCAGGATTTCAATCCTACATCAGAATGTATCTAAATGAGGATTAACGCCCTTTTCACACGGTGTCGAAGTTACGTCCCCTTCCTGAGCTGTGTACACACACGGTGCAGTAAGAATCAATGGCTGACCGTTCTCCCGAGTTACCGTTCTTGCAAATGTCATTTTCTCCCATTTTAAGTTTGCATAATTTCAAAACTCTGTATGTCTTTTTAAGTTAGAGTAGCTTTACATACATGGAGTGTGAGTATATAGGCCTATATATATATATATATATATATATATATATATATATATATATATATATATATATATATATATATATATATATATATATATATATATATATATATATATATATATGTATGTATATATATATATATATACTTATTTCTAATTCTATATGTAATTTTAGTGAATACACAATAATTAGCTTAATTTTAGGACTTATCAACAATTAGCAAGAAGCATGTACTTACCTACCATTTAGTCTTATAATTTTCTTTAAAAAAATGTGGTTGAAATGAAAATGTCATGCGTTTTGTAAGATAATTGGGATGTCCTTGTTACACTTTCAGCTCTGGACATTACAGGTGAGAACATTGAGGACCTCCTGGCCTATGATGACTTGTTCCTGGATTATTTCAACTGTTTCTTAGCTCTGCCGGTAAGTCACGGCACACTTGTTGAGAGTTTTACAATTTTACAATGGGAAGGTGTGCTGTTTTGGTTGAACCCACGACTGTTGACCCGAAAGTGTCAATTTCGGTTCCCAAACGAATCTCTAATACGCCAACAGTTAAGTCTGGTGGGTAAAAAAAAAGCAACAAATAAAGTTTCCTCCTTAGACCCAGCGATCGGGTTAGTAGAGTTCATATGTTTCTTGACCTCGGCATATGAAAGGAAATTTTGGTCAGTGCTATGCCCAGCCGACTTTTCTTCCCCAACGCAAGTCAGGTACCCATTTTAGCTGGTTGGACTCGGGGACGTCCTAATGTCACATGTTGAAACCAAGATCCGAACCCAAAACTTTTGGGCTAGCAGTCAAACGTTCTACCATTCGACCACACAGTCCCAAGTCTATTATATAAAACTAAAATTAAAATTCACGCAAATTACATCGGGGATCAAAACTATTGTGTAGACTTTTAAATGTTTTTCTCCTATTTGTAAGGCTTTCGCCGGTAATTCGCGTATTAGGGTATGATAACTTAATTATATATTTTTAAAAATTATTTTTTTAGAGTTATGTTCAGTATTTAAAGGAAAAAAAATGTGGTACTTTTGGTGGTATTGCCAGCAATAACTAGTTTTCCATTGGTAGTATTTATCGATTAAAACAGAACTTCCTGTTATCAGAGGCGTAGCCACCCTTCCCGGTGCCCGGGGACAAACTTTCAATTTGGCGCCCCCTCGGGAAGAACCTTTCAATGTTCAATTTGCATCCCCCTACATAAACTTTCAATTAGTTTTTCAAAGCCATTTTGGCGCCCCCTAAGGTCGGCGCACAGGGACATATGTACCCCGACCCCCCCCCCCCTCCCCTCGCTACGCCTCTGCCTGTGATGAAGCAATACATAAACCGCTTCTCACCCTACTGTTGCTAGGTGTTCCCTCAAGCTATTTTTTACAACCGACTGACCGGGGCGTTTGAGGAGATCGATGGCTCCACCCCCGACACCTGTGGGGTGCTGCCCCCGCTCAGCCCCTCCCTACACTTCGGCCCTACAGACGCCGTCAGGGATCGTATGCTGGAGTGGGCCCGGCAGGAGAGGCTGACGTTGTTTCTCAGGTATTCTTGTGTGGGCTTGTGTGTGTTGTTGTGTGTTTTAGTAGGCATTCTAGTGTGTTTGTGTGGTTGTTTATGTGTGTGAAATTATGTGTGTTTAAGTGGGCTTACTTTTGTGGTTGTGCGTGTTTATGTGTGTTTGGTTCCATGTGTTTAAGTGGGCCTAGTTGTATTTGTGTGTGTATGTTTATGTATGTGTGTTTCTGTGTGTTTGAGTAGGGCCTACCTGTGTGTTTGTACGTCTTTATGTGTGTGATTTGTCTTTGTATGCTGTATTCGCACATTTATATTTCACTGTACCTGTGTGTATGCGTGTGTTTGCTAGAAGAACACTAACTCTACTAACGACCTTGACCTTTGACCTAGGGCCGAGCTGTTCCGCGAGCTGAAGTTGGTCAAGCTGTTGTTGCGGCCCCTGGACACGGAGAGACAATCCACCAGCCGGGAGAGCAGCCGGAACATCCGGGGATACAGCCGGGCGTCGGAGAGCTATATCTCAAGTCTGAGGTAGGGGGAGGGGCTACATCTCAAGTCTTAGGTAGGGGGAGGGGATATATCTCAAGTCTTAGGTAGGGGGAGGGGCTATATCTCAAGTCTTAGGTAGGGGGAGGGGCTATGTTTCAAGTCTTAGGTAGGGGGAGGGGCTATATCTCAAGTCTTAGGTAGGGGGAGGGGATATATCTCAAGTCTTAGGTAGGGGGAGGGGCTATATCTCAAGTCTTAGGTAGGGGGAGGGGCTATATATCAAGTCTTAGGTAGGGGGAGGGGCTATATCTCAAGTCGTAGGTAGGGGGAGGGGCTACATCTAAAGTCGTAGGTGGGGGGGGCTACATCTCACGTCTTAGGTAGGGGAGGGCATACATCGCAAGTCTTGACAAGGGGGAGGGGCTACATCTCAAGTTTTAAGTAGAGTGAGGGGCAACATCTCGAGTCTTATTTTGGGGGAGGGGCTACATCTTAAGACGGGGAGGGAGAGGGGCTACATCTCAAGTCGTAGGTACTATTGGTAGGGGTGGTGTAGGGGCTACTTATCGTCTTAGTTACGTTTAGGGTATGGGGACTACATCTTAGATAATTTGGAGAGGGGGGGCTGTATCTTAGATATGGTGGGGGGGACTATATCTTAGTTATCGTGGAGGGGGACTACATTTCGAATATTAGAGTGAAATGAAATTGACTTTTGCACCGTCCCATATAATTATATCAAACCGAATGTCGTTATACCAGCTAACTAATTCATACCACTAATTAACCTCACCATTGTTCTACCACACGCAGCATCAGTGGCGACAACAGCGGCAACAACAACCTGAACGACTTCGAGGAAGATTTCGCCCGGCTGGACTACAACGCCCTCTACCGGTACCAGAGACCGGGAAGTCGAGCTCTCTCCATGCCGGTTGGCTTCTTCTACGGTAGGCTTTTGAAATTATGCTAATGTTGATGGCTGTTATTAACGAAATATGCGGTTGGTTTCTTCTACGGTAGGCTTTTAAATTATGCTTATGTTGATGGCTGTTATTAACGAAATATGTCGGGTGGTTTTGTCAGTGTATTTTTTACATTTGGGGATTTCAGTTTTTTTTTTCTTACTTCGTTCTTTAGTATATTATTTTAATAAAGGTGAACTCCTCCAACATAATTAAAATATTACGTATCAACATATAGCCAGTCATTCTGTCTTCAGTCTTTTTTCTTATTTTTTCCTTAATTAGGTCCTATAATATTGCAGGTAACTCCTCCAACATGATTAAACATTAAGTGTCAACATCTTTTGTACCATACAACCCGTCTGTCTGCTTTTCGTTCTGAATTAGTTTACACAGCTTTAAATCAACCAAAAAATAACATGCAATGCAGCAGTATTTTCTCAAATTATTATTTTGGAATTTTCTCAGTTACATGTACTGTGGTCCCCAGCTAACAAGCCTCATCTGCCCGGGATCCAAATTTGTCTATCTATACCATGTCTTTGTTATGAAACAAAATTCGTTTCAGACTGTACGGTCTTATAGCAGATGAAGTAGAGTCCATCTGTTGCAATGACAATGGGATAATATCGCCAGCGTTATCCCCATCCGTTATTTCTTTCCCCTGCTGCCTCAAACATAACTTTCTAACCCAAAACTCTGAACATATCCTGACAGATAATCCCCGGTTTCATGTCATGCCGTTTGACCGATGCCAAATTAAGACTCTACCCCCCCCCCCTCTTTCACCACTTAACTAACATGTACCAAATCTTGTCCCCCCCCCCCTCCCCCACAGACAACCAACAGTTTGACGCCCCGCCCACCGAAAACAACACCCCCTACCAGACGTCCAGCAAATCTCACAGCGCTATCGTCTCGACCACCACCGGCACCTCCTCCAGCTTCCGGTTCAAAGACTTCCAGGAGAAGCTGGTGCCGCGCGCCCACAACGAGACGAAAAACGGCATCCTGACGTCTAGCAGCAAGACCCCAGGGGGTCGTCGACAAAGGACAAGGTCAGTCTTTTACAATGCCGATACATTTAAGTCTTGCTAACGTTAAAGATGTTAAGAAAAGTAAATTAATCTTTGAAACATGCGGTTTATGGGCAGGCGAAGTAAAGTTCACCTGTTGTTTTTAGCTCGGCATTTGAAGGGATAGTGTGGTCAGCACTATGCCCGCCCGCCTTGGATTCCCTAACGTGAGTCGGGTACCCATCAGAGTTGGGTGTACTAGGGCCCCGTATCCGAGTTCAAGACTTTAGAGATAGAATTCGAATATTCTACCATTCAACCACACCGTCCCTTTGTTAATGTGTGATTTAATTTTCTGCAAAAATTTTCTGGAACTCAAATATCTACTCTGTATACATTTTTTTTCCTTTTACGTTAATCAGCATGTAGGGTAAATAAAGTATATAGTTGATTGTTTTGTGACCACTGGAGTTGTGTGGTCAGTTATAGATCCAGACGCCTTTACTTTCCCTTACATGAATCAGGTACCCTTTACAGCTGGGTGACCTCAATGACGTCCTACACACTCTACTCCGAGATCCGAACTAAAGAATCGTGCGCTCTACCATGCAACCACGCCATTCCACTCTAAAGTTGTATTTTTTTTTTAATTTCTAGATTGTCAGAACAACCGGATGTCGCGTCTAAAACCCCAAAGAGTGAACAGACACGGAACATGAGCAGACAACAATATGGTGAGTGTAATTTTTGTTGCATCTTTTATTAGAAAATTCCGTCAGACGTTTCCGGGTATTGAAAATATTGATATTTATTCTCAACCTAACTCCATACTTAACCTTAACTGAAAACAGACTCTAATCGGTAAGACTTAAGAGTTAGACCAAAAGTTTAATTTTCAAGTAAAGAGAAACATAAAGTACAGTTCACCACAAATTTAATCAAACAAAATCTTTGTGTTTTTGAGGATATTGTTTGTTCCAATAAAATGTCTCATTAACGTCTTGCATAAAGTTGCACCACTACCATTAGGCTAATCACCTGTAATTAGCTTGATTCACTTTTTCCTTTTTAATTATCGCTTGATAAGTTTATATGAATAGAACATTTCAATTTTTTGTGTACTGCGAATCTGAAACTGATTATTTAATTTGTTTTTCTTTCTCCCCCAAGACCGCGCTAAATCTTCAATGAGTCAAGCTCTGCCTTCAACCACAGAAGAGGCTTTTATCAGAGGAGCAAGGTTAGCGCGAGTTACCTCCCATATTAAAAAAAAATCTGTTTCTGTAATTAGAGTTACGTCCCATATGAATGATATTATATCTGTTTTGGGAGTTACGCCCCATATAAAAGATACTGTCTGTATCGAACGTCTCATATAAAAGTTAGCATCTGTAAATAGTAAACATTAAATTGAAAAAGAAATGAGTTTTGATGTTGTTTTTTTCTCTAGACAACACCTTAAATAACACTAATTAAAAAAATATTTTCATGTGATGAAAAGAGAAAGTTCTCTAACTCGATGCTTAGTTATATCGCTGTTACTTAATTAGTGAAGGAATCAGTTCACTACTGCCATCTCTGTCCACTGTGGCATTCGTCTTTTGACTAAACTTCTGACACCCTTAGTTCTATCCTGTCTACTTTCCTGACTCTATGTCATTGTGCTGATATATGACTAAAATGTCATTTGTAAATAATCATCGTTAATTAATTACCAATGCTTTATTTTAATTAAACCCGAAATTAAGAGTTATCTTAATAAAATGTAAATACTAGTACCACTGTTTCTCTTTGCTGATATGTATTGACATGCCAGTGGATAGTGACAAGTTACTTGACATAACACGTACGTTGGCATGACAATTGTCAGATGACATGACATATTGACATTACACGTACGTTGACATCAACATGACATATACCAACCAATCGCCTCTCTACCCCAGGGCCCTCTCCGCCCCCACCTATCTCGACGACTACTTTGGCATGCCTGGGTTCGAGTACCAGCCGTTCGAGGAATTCTTCGGCGAGGCGGAACCGGAACCGGACGGTCAGCACTATGTCCAGTTTGAGGAGGAGGGGATCAGTGAGGCCCAAACAGAGGCAGACGTGAGGAACATGGAGGGGAGGCTGAAGATGACCGTGCAACAGGTCAAGGAGCGAATGCTCGGATCAGTGAGTAGCGTCCCTTGTTGGTTAGTTTTGATTGCTGTTGCGGTCGATTTGTCGTGTTACTGAAGTTTGTACACAGTCCTTCTGTGTTCTTCTGCTCGTAGGGACACATTTTTCTTTTTAGTAAAGCAGTTTGTATACGGTCCTTGTTTTCCTTGTATGATCTTAAGTTTATTTTTTTTTATCGAAACCCGTTCATAAGTTCATCTAAACTTGTTTTGTTTTATAAACCTGTGCTCACAACTTCATTGTAACTTTTACCTTTGAATTGCTGTAATGGAGTTAAAACGCGTTATGGAAAGACATTACTTAAATACGTTACTAAAATATGTCACCTAAACCTTTACTTGAAAAACATTACTAAACAACTTTTTATAAAGCCCTTTACTTAAACAAGCAACATAAACATATTACTAAAACACATTACTCGTCCATATTACTAAAATATTACTAATATTACACATTACTAACCAACATTACTATCATACATTACAAAAACAAACTACTAACACACATGAATAAAACACATTACTAACACACATAACCGAAATATTAATAACACACATTACTAACAAACATTACTAAAACAAACTACAAACACACATTACTAAAACAGATTAGTATTACTAACACACAGAACTAAAACACATTACTAACACAGATTAGTATTACTAACACACATTACTAAAACAAACTACAAACACACATTACTAACACACATAACTAACACACAATACTAACACAAATTACTAACACACATTACTAAAACAAACTAGTAACGTACATTGGTAAAAGTATTAACGGAATCCCACGATCGCCACCAGCACAAGACGTTCGAGGAATTCCGTGAGTTTCTGAGAGGCACCTCAGGCGAGCACCTGCTGACCTTCTGGCTGGAGTGTGAGAACTTCAAGGACACGATGGAGGATTTTGATGACGATCAAAACATGGACATGCGCAACGCTCACTTCCGGTAAGATGGTTTCTGTTGTAAATATATATGAGTGAGGGAGAGAGGAAGAGAGATAATGAAATAAAAGTTAAAAAGGAGAGGGGGTGTACAAATATAATAAACGGGGACAAAGATTCTTTCTGGCATCTTTTCGTGGGTGCACTGAATTTCCCCCACTCCCTAGAAAGAAAATAATATTATATGTTATCTGTAAAATAATACTCTAATCAATCGCCCCCCCCCCCCCACCTTGGAGAAAAAAATAAAATAGGTTATTAAGTCTAGAAAAAAAAGATTTGGATGTACGAAAAATGGAAAAATAAGGCTTGATGATACGACAGAGTGGCAAAAGATAAGCAGTGGGGTGGGGGGGGGGGGGGGGGGGGAAGGGTAGGAGGAGAGTGAGGGGAAGAAACAAAAAAGATTGACCCCCTCTTTATAGAACCCCCTGTATTGACCCCTTCTGTATCGAACCCCTCTGTATTTACTCCCTCTATATTGACCCTTCTATATTGACCCCTTTGTGTCGATCCCTCTGTACTGACCCCTTCTATATTAACCCCTCTGTATTGACCCCATTCTATATTGACCCCTATGTATTAGCCCCTTTATATTGACCGCTTCTATAGTGACCCCTCTGTATTGACCCCCTCTATATTGACCCCTCTGTATTGACCCCCTCTATATTGACCTCTCTGAATAAACCCCTCTGTATTGACCCCTGTGTATTGACCCCTCTGTATTGACCCCCTCTATATTGACCTCTCTGAATAAACCCCTCTGTATTGACCCCTGTGTATTGACTCCTCTGTGTTGACCCCCTCTATATTGACCTCTCTGAATTAACCCCTCTGTATTGACCCTGTTATATTCACCCCCTCTGTATTGACCCCCTCAATATTGACCCCTCTGTATTGACCCCTCTATATCGACCCCTATGTACTGACCCCCTCCATATTGACACCAGGAACATCCAGGACAAGTACAAGCTGAAGCTAACGTCTGACGCCCTAGACCAGATCACTCAAGCCGCCACCAACAAGGGCCTGAGCCACACGATTTTCCTGAGGACCCAGTACGACGTGCTCAGGCGGCTCAGGGCCTACTGGGTGCCCAGGTTCCTCATCCACTGTGAGATGACCAAAGGAATCAGGTGAGCCGCACTGGGTGCTGTGTCCGTTCTGGCTTGGTCTAATTGTCTAGTCTGTAAGATTTCGTCTTGGTCTAATTGTCTAGTCTGTAAGATTTAGTCTTGGTCTAATTGTCTAGTCTGTAAGATTTTGTCTTGGTCTAATTGTCTAGTCTGTAAGATTTTGTCTTGGTCTAATTGTCCAGTCTGTAAGATTTTGTCTTGGTCTAATTGTCTAGTCTGTAAGATTTTGTCTTGGTCTAATTGTCCAGTCTGTAAGATTTTGTCTTGGTCTAATTGTCTAGTCTGTAAGATTTTGTCTTGGTCTAATTGTCCAGTCTGTAAGATTTTGTCTTGGTCTAATTGTCTAGTCTGTAAGATTTTGTCTTGGTCTAATTGTCTAGTCTGTAAGATTTTGTCTTGGTCTAATTGTCTAGTCTGTAAGATTTTGTCTTGGTCTAATTGTCCAGTCTGTAAGATTTTGTCTTGGTTCTATAGTCTAGTCTGTAAGATTTTGTCTTGGTCTAATAGTCTAGTCTGTAAGATTTTGTCTTGGTCTAATTGTCTAGTCTGTAAGATTTTGTCTTGGTCTAATTGTCCAGTCTGTAAGATTTTGTCTTGGTCTAATTGTCTAGTCTGTAAGATTTTGTCTTGGTCTAATTGTCCAGTCTGTAAGATTTTGTCTTGGTCTAATTGTCCAGTCTGTAAGATTTTGTCTTGGTCTAATTGTCTAGTCTGTAAGATTTTGTATTGGTCTAATTGTCTAGTCTGTAAGATTTTGTCTTGGTCTAATTGTCCAGTCTGTAAGATTTTGTCTTGGTCTAATTGTCTAGTCTGTAAGATTTTGTCTTGGTCTAATTGTCCAGTCTGTAAGATTTTGTCTTGGTCTAATTGTCTAGTCTGTAAGATTTTGTCTTGGTTCTATAGTCTTGTCAAGTCTGTAAGATTTTGTCTTGGTCTAATTGTCTAGTCTGTAAGATTTTGTCTTAGTCTAATTGTCCAGTTTGATAGCTATTGTTGTCTTGGAGATTTCGATGTGCAGTAGTTTTAATATATATGCAAGTGAAACACAGAAATATTACACACTTTGATGTTTTTTTTTTTAAAGTTATTTGTAGTTTGCTATTTTTAATGGGTGAAGAGTAGTTTAAAAAGATTAGGCTTTAATTTAAGATGGTCTTTTTTTGTCCTTTTCGATTAAAATCTGCAGAAGTTCTGAATGTCACGTGGTACAACTAACCTAAATTAGTTCTCAACATAAATTGGACTTTTTTTTTTACGAGTGACTGAATGTAGTGAAACTTTTTAATTGAAATGCCTATTACACTATATAAAGTGGGCATAATCTTTCCTCTATCAGAAACTTGACTTAAACATCATTGTGTTGTTAGAAACCTGACATTCTCATGTTGTTAGAAACTTGATATAATTGTGTTGTTAGAAACTTGACATTCTTGTGTTGTTAGAAACTTGACATTCTTGTGTTGTTAGAAACTTGTCATTCTTACATTAGAAACTTGACATTCTCATGTTGTTAGAAACCTGACATTCTCATGTTGTTTTAAAACTTGTCATTCTTACATTACAAACTTGACATTATCATGTTTACAGTTTTGACGAAGATGAAGAGAACCAGGACCCTATGTCCCAACCCTACAAGTCCATCTGTGCCACACCTGTCAGCTCCAGGTCTAGCCATTCAGGTAGTTAAAACGTTTCCATTACAGGTAGCAACTAGAGTTTAAACGTTTTCTTCTCTTAATGCTCACGAGCATTACATGTAGTCATTCTAATTACAATTTAATGTTTGCATTTCTTAATGCTAACCGACAGTCTTGTTCTATGTTCATCAGTGTATAAGTTTTTTTTACTATGTCTTTTTATTCTTACTTGTGTAATATCTACTTTTTTTTCTATTTCTCATGTTTTTAAAATTATTATTCTCTTTTTGTTTTCCGTTTGTTTTTTTGGTTAAAGTACTTTTTCCACTTTTGTATATTAAATTATATATTTTTTTAAATGTGTTATGTTGATTTTCGACAGTTAAAAAAAAAAAATCTATTCTCTAAGCCAGGGGTTCCCAACCCCGTGCCCGCGGGCGCCATGGCGCCCGCCGAACGATTCGTATGTGCCCGCCTCTCACTATTCGACAGAGACAGAATTTATTTCATAAACATTATTGAAAGGTTAAAGGGGGGGGGGGTGCAAATCGAAAATTTGAGGGGGGGGGGGTGCAAATCGAAAGTTTGAGGGGGGGGGGGGGTGGAAATCGAAAGTTTGAGGGGGGGGGGGGGTGCAAATCGAAAGTTTGAGGGGGGGGGGGGTGCAAATCGAAAGTTTTGTCCCCGGGTGACGGGAAGGGTTGCTACGCCTCAGGAACGAGTTTGTCGATTTAAAATAGGTGGTGCCCGCCACCCTACCAATATTTTAGAATGTGCTCTTGAGTAAAAAAAGTTTGGGAACCCCTGCTCTGAGCTATATCTTCCTGGTTAACTTAACATACCTCCACTACTTTTGCTATTAAAAATCAACTTTCATGTACACCCCCCCCCCCCCCGTTTGTCTCCAGGTGACCGCCACCCCCAGCCCATGTTCCCCTCCATCTCCCTGGTCCACTCTATGCCCGTGCTGCCAGAGGACGCCCGGGACTACGCCAACCGCCTGAGCATGCACGTCTACGACAACAGCACCGCCAGTCTCAGGCGGATGTTCCCCAGGCAGAGGTCAACGGTCTCGGCCAGGTCAAAGCGACCTGCCCCGACATCCAAGAGGTAACGTTTCCGGTCATCCCTTGTCTGTGATTGGGTTTCGTGGGTTAACCTTATGGGTCATCCATTAATGACGTCCTCAATTGTTTTGGATTTTGGACCCTCCCCCCCCCCGTCCACAAACTTAATTCCCCTTTAAAAGTATATACACGTCCGCAAAAGTCAATTTTTTTCGGACCCCCCCCCCGTGTGGACGTCATAAATGGATGACCCATTACCTGTTTGAATTGCCTTAAGGGTCATAAATTACTTTATACTCATATGGGATGGGGCCTGACTTACCTACCGAAATCTGACAAGGGGATGATCAGAGAATGTGACGTCAAATTTAGATATTAAAAACAAAATTCAACTTAATTTTAGCTGTTTTTTTCTCATTGTTTAAAAACTCTTTGTTTTTTTTTTCTAATTGTAATAAAAAAAAAAAACATAGAGAAATAACCTAATCTTGGGTTCGTGTCAGTAGAATTTCCATTATTGAACTCAGCTCTGGTGGGTACCTGACTCACGTTAGAGAAAATAAAGGCGGCTGTGCATAGTGTTGACCACACAGTCCCTCCACATGCCGTGAACACTGAAAAAGGTGAACTCTACTTCACTTGCCCCATGGACATTCAGCTTCGAAATGGTACTTAACCTAATCCTGACCTAGCTCAGTAATTTTTTTTTTAAATTATTGTTTCCAAAAACGAAAAAGAAACTGAAATTCTGGAAGAAAGCAGGAAGTTAAGCTTGACTATAAACTTGACTCTAACACTCAGGTCTATTTATTTACCTCCAATTTAAAACCTCCCCAGCACTCGCACACACAGCAGGTAAACGTAGATTGTTAGAGGTTGTTAACGATTGTAGATTTAATCAGGTTGTTAACGGTTGTAGATTGTTAGAGGTTGTTAACGATTGTAGATTTTAATCAGGTAATAGCTCTAACATTAGCTCTATAAGTTAAACCAAGACCATCTTGTGTCTCAGTAAAGTAGAATCCTTAACACAGACTAGTTGCTAACCTTTGCATACATTGACACGCCTTAATTGGAAAATAAATTAATCGAAATGCTCCAGGAGTAATTAAGTGGTGTCAACACAGAATTAATTAACCCCAGCTTACGTCATCAAGTCTTAAAAAAATCAATGCAAGACTGTGAAGGCATGCTATATTGCTGTGATTCTGGCAATATGAATTCAAGTAGTATGATCTAATTAAGTAAACACCGCATTTATGTAGACACGGCCAACTCCATACGTGGCCACAAATGGTGGACAAATGTTTTCGCCCCTTGTCCACTAATGGACAAATGCCTACACCCCCTGCCCTATAATGGGCAAATACAAACACGCCCCTGCCCTATAATGGGCAAATACCAACACCCCCTACTCACCAATGGACACATTTCTACGCCCCCTCCCTTATAATGGACAAATGCCTACACCCCCTACCCACTAATGGACACATTTCTACGCCCCCTCCCTTATAATGGACAAATGCCTACACCCCCTACCCACTAATGGACACATTTCTACGCCCCCTCCCTTATAATGGACAAATGCCTACACCCCCTACCCACTAATGGACAAATGCCTACACCCCCTACCCACTAATGGACAAATGCCTACACCCCCTACCCACTAATGGACAAATGCCTACACCCCCTACCCACTAATGGACAAATGCCTACACCCCCTACCCACTAATGGACAAATGCCTACACCCCCTACCCACTAATGGACAAATGCCTACACCCCCTACCCACTAATGGACAAATGCCTACACCCCCTACCCACTAATGGACAAATGCCTACACCCCCTACCCACTAATGGACAAATGCCTACACCCCTTCCCCACTAATGGACAAATATCTACACCTCTTCCCCACTAATGGACAAATATCTACACCCCTTCCCCACTAATGGACAAATGCCTACACCCCTTCCCCACTAATGGACAAATGCCTACACCCCTTCCCCACTAATGGACAAATGCCTACACCCCCTACCCACTAATGGACAAATGCCTACACCCCTTCCCCACTAATGGACAAATATCTACACCCCTTACCCACAAGAAATCTGCCCCTAACAGTTTTGGCATGCGTCTAGCTTAACATTGTGTTCTAAATTTAGAAACTTACCCCTTAGCTTTACCAATGTGTGTTTAATTAGCCACTTACTTTTGCAGCTAATGCCTTTCCTTAAAACTATTTTTTTTTAATTCGTATTCCTTGGTTTTGATCTCTTGCTTAATTTAAGGTTTCTCTTTTCTTGTGTGTGTGGTTAGCTTTTATCTTATGCGCCCCTGTTCTGTGCGTATCTTCTGCCCGTATTAAGCATCTTGGTTGATGCTGCATTTTTCTCTATCATGGATTATCTGACTGTGCGTTCTGACACCCAATATACGAGCAATATTTTACGACCTCTTTCTAATATTTGTGTCGATTGCATTGAGATAAACGCTTAATAATCTAAGCAAAAGTAAAATTTGAAAAGAGATAAAATAACTTTTTAATTTTTTTTTTAAATTTTAATCTTTGAAATAGATGTGAACCTTAATTTAAAACTTCTAACACTTGCTAAAAATTATTTTTTTTTCTTTTCTGTGTGATATTCACGTTTTAAAGATGTACTTTATGTGACGTATAAATTAAGGTACCTTCAAAGCACAAAAGTCTGTCTAAAAACAAAAAGATTATTTATATCTCTACACTATTATCTTTGATTCTTACTTCAATACACACAAGGCTGTCTAAAAAATAAATATATTATGTATACCTTTACACTATTATCTAACCACGCTTTTCACATTTATTTTTATTTTATTTTTCTTTAACAAAAAAAAATGAAACATATATTCATGATAAAGTTGACAATGTAGTAATGTAAATTTAGACCACAGCGAGCCACCTAAGTGATCACTCACTTAACTCACTAGGTGAAGCGCATGTTGTGTTCACATACCATTTGACTAAATATAGATCATATTATTTCCCCTTCAGGTCGACCAAAGAAAGATTTGTACTAGCTCTATCAGCAGACAAACAAGCGGGAGGTCCCTTCCAGCGTTACCTGTCCAGGTAAGAACCAAACCCAAAGGCGTAGCGAGGGGGGGACATGTCCCCGGGCGCCGACCTTAGGGGGCGCCAAAATGGGTTGGAAAAACACATTGAAAGTTTGAAGGTTGGTGCAAATCGAAATTCTAAGGGGGGGGGGGGTGCAAATCGAAAGTTTGTTCCCGGGCGCCGGGAAGGGTCGCTACGCCTTTGACCGAACCACATCCCGTCGCTCCCCCTTATTGACCAGTGTTTTCATTACGAGAGTGATGTGGTCGAGTATTAGAGATATGTGACATCACGCACCGAAAATGTTATTATTCTTATTTGAGGTTTTGATGCACAATACTAATTGTTGGTCCGAATATTCAAATATTCAAATTATTTATTATCACTACTGTCAGGGATTTTACGAGCCTGAGTTGAAGCAGCCTTGTTGGGAAAGAATTGGAATAATTAGGCGAATGGCTATTATGTCGGTTGTATTGTTACAGAAAGTTCAAGGCTAAATATTTATTTTTATTATTTATCTACTTCAAACGTGTGTAAGGTTGCAATTTCAATCAGCTTTAATAGGTGCTCAGCATTAATTGGAAAAAATGGACTATGTCTTTGCCTATCAGGCCTTTATGATAGAAAAGAAAAGCACGAAACATGTATTTTAAAAAAAAAACCCACCTAGGCCAATAGTATCTGTATTCACTATTAAATACCCCCCCTAAAAAAAAAATTTAAAAAAAATTAAAAAAAAGTTATTTAAATAAATCATGTGATCACGTGATGTACTGAAGAATGTGTGTGTGTGGTTTGAACAGCCAGGAGGACCAGAGCCTCGTGGACAGCCTGCTGTTCTGGCAGGCTGTGACAGACTTCGGGTCAGTCCAGGACAGGTCGTCGGACAGGCTGCTCCGGCTGTGCCACGCCTGGGCCATCTACAACAAGTTCCTGTCACGTGATAGCCCTCATAAGATCGGTCAGTGCCTGTGTGGTATTTACGTCCATAGCTGTAGGACATCACCCCCCCCCCCTCAAACTCCTGTCTATTGCCCCTCTGTTATTAACCCCCCCCCCCCCCCCCGCCATAACATCGATGTTAATTTAAAGTAAATTTACCTTTAGAACTTGACGGTCCATGGATCACGAGAAGTAGAGTTCACCTGTTTCAAGGGGAGTTCACCTGTTTCTGTGACCTCGGCATATGAAGGGAAAGTGTGGTCAGCACTATACCCAGCCACTTTTACTTTCCCTAAGATAATTTATTCTTTCACATAAGCAGGTAAACTCTACTTCATCTGCTTTACTGAACAACCGGTCCGAAAGGTTTTCACTTTACTTTTTAAGCCAAAATAAGAAAAACTTGGCCCCAGCAAGAATCATATGCTACTAAAAACCTTTTATTTAACACAACACAATTCCTCTTGTACTTAACACCAATTTACCATTAAAACAAAACACAAAAACCAATGACATCCGAACACCAATCTTCACCGAAACCCAAACACCCTCAATACCATTCTAGCCAAAACACAAACACCAATCACCAAACACCTCTCACACCAGTCACCACCAAAAGCCAAACAGCTCTATCAATCATCAAGCACCACCAATCCGTTTTTTTCAGACTTTTTTCTCCGGGGGGGGGGGGGGGGGGGGGGGGTTGAGGGAACGAAATTTTCGGGGGGCGGACGGCGGACACTGTCAAAAGTATGTATTTTCTATATAAATTATATTTGTTCGGGAGGTGGGGGGGGGGGGGGGGGCTCGTCTTCCGCCAAAGAGATGCCTGGAAGAAATTCTGCCACCAATCACAAAACACCACTACCACTGATTACGATCAATCACTAAATACCCTTACTATCAACCACCACTAATCACCAAACACTTCTTACACCAATCGCAACCAATCATCACCACCCCCCCCTCACCCCCCCCCCCCCCACAGAGCTGCCAGAGAACGAGACCAAACACCTCCAGCACTGCCTGGAACGGGCCCGCGAGTTTATGGAGGCCTCCATCTTTGACCACGCCAAGATCCTCGCCGTGGAGAAGCTGGAGAAGGCGTGGGTTCGGTTCCTGAAGGAGGATCTCAAGGCATTTCTAGAGTGAGTACTGATCTCAAGGCATTTCTAGAGTGAGTACCTAGCTCAAGTCATTTCTAGAGTGAGTACCTAGCTCAAGTCATTTCTAGAGTGAGTACCTAGCTCAAGTCATTTCTAGAGTGAGTACCTAGCTCAAGTCATTTCTAGAGTGAGTAATGATCTAAAGTCATTTCTAGAGTGAGTACCTAGCTCAAGTCATTTCTAGAGTGAGTAATGATCTAAAGTCATTTCTAGAGTGAGTACCTAGCTCAAGTCATTTCTAGAGTGAGTAATGATCTAAAGTCATTTCTAGAGTGAGTACCTAGCTCAAGTCATTTCTAGAGTGAGTAATGATCTAAAGTCATTTCTAGAGTGAGTACCTAGCTCAAGTCATTTCTAGAGTGAGTAATGATCTAAAGTCATTTCTAGAGTGAGTACCTAGCTCAAGTCATTTCTAGAGTGAGTAATGATCTAAAGTCATTTCTAGAGTGAGTACCTAGCTCAAGTCATTTCTAGAGTGAGTACCTAGCTCAAGTCATTTCTAGAGTGAGTAATGATCTAAAGTCATTTCTAGAGTGAGTACCTAGCTCAAGTCATTTCTAGAGTGAGTAATGATCTAGTCATTTCTAGAGTGAGTACCTAGCTCAAGTCATTTCTAGAGTGAGTACCTAGCTCAAGTCATTTCTAGAGTGAGTACCTAGCTCAAGTCATTTCTAGAGTGAGTAATGATCTAAAGTCATTTCTAGAGTGAGTACCTAGCTCAAGTCATTTCTAGAGTGAGTAATGATCTCAAGTCATTTCCTGAGTGAGTACCTAGCTCAAGTCATTTCTAGAGTGAGTACTGACCTCAAGGCATTTCTAGAGTGAGTACCTAGCTCAAGTCATTTCTAGAGTGAGTACCTAGCTCAAGTCATTTCTAGAGTGAGTACTGATCTCAAGGCATTTCTAGAGTGAGTACCTAGCTCAAGTCATTTCTAGAGTGAGTACCTAGCTCAAGTCATTTCTAGAGTGAGTACCTAGCTCAAGTCATTTCTAGAGTGAGTACCTAGCTCAAGTCATTTCTAGAGTGAGTACCTAGCTCAAGTCATTTCTAGAGTGAGTACCTAGCTCAAGTCATTTCTAGTGGGTACTGATCTCAAGTCATTTCTAGAGTGAGTACCTAGCTCAAGCCATTTCTAGAGTGAGTACATAGCTCAAGTCATTTCTAGAGTGAGTACCTAGCTCAAGTCATTTCTAGAGTGAGTACATAGCTCAAGTCATTTCTAGAGTGAGTACCTAGCTCAAGTCATTTCTAGAGTGAGTACCTAGCTCAAGTCATTTCTAGAGTGAGTACCTAGCTCAAGTCATTTCTAGAGTGAGTACCTAGCTCAAGTCATTTCTAGTGGGTACTGATCTCAAGTCATTTCTAGAGTGAGTACCTAGCTCAAGTCATTTCTAGTGGGTACTGATCTCAAGTCATTTCTAGAGTGAGTATCTATCTCAAGTCATTTCTAGAGTGAGTACCTAGCTCAAGTCATTTCTAGTGGGTACTGATCTCAAGTCATTTCTAGAGTGAGTATCTATCTCAAGTCATTTCTAGAGTGAGTACCTAGCTCAAGTCATTTCTAGTGGGTACTGATCTTAAGTCATTTCTAGAGTGAGTACCTAGCTCAAGTCATTTCTAGTGGGTACTGAGCTCAAGTCATTTCTAGAGTGAGTACCTAGCTCAAGTCATTTCTAATGGGTACTGATCTCAAGTCATTTCTATAGTGAGTACCTAGCTCAAGTAATTTCTAGAGTGAGTACCTAGCTCAAGTCATTTTTAGTGGGTACTGATCTCAAGTCATTTCTAGGGTGAGTACCTAGCTCAAGTCATTTCTAGTGGGTACTGATCTCAAGTTATTTCTAGAGTGAGTACCTAGCTCAAGTCATTTCTAGAGTGAGTACCTAGCTCAAGTCATTTCTAGTGGGTACTGATCTCTAGTCATTTCTAGAGTGAGTACCTAGCTCAAGTCATTTCTAGAGTGAATACTGATCTCAAGTCATTTCTAGAGTGAGTACCTAGCTCAAGTCATTTCTAGAGTGAGTACCTAACTCAAGTCATTTCTAGAGTGAGTACCTAGCTCAAGTCATTTCTAGAGTAGAGTGAGTACTGATATCAAGTCAGTTCTAGATTAAGTGCCGGGTTGTATAAAAATGTGTTTTAATTTAGATGACTTCTAATAACATGCATAGGCTGATCTGTATATATGGGGAGAGGGTGGGGGCATAGATCCCATCCCTTAAAAAAAAAATAGGATTTTTTGTTTTTCAAAAATGTAAGCTTATGAAGTTATGTTTTGCTTATTTGTAACATTTTATTTTATATAAATATTATTTAAATAAATATATTGTAACATTTTGATGATGTAGCCTATTTTTGTATTGCTCTGGGTGGAACAGAGGAGTGACTGGAAATTCTCCCCCCGTCCCTCAAATATATGTTTGTATTCCCAGCCCTACCCCCCCCCCCTCTCCTCCGTTTCCCATTGTCAAAACTCAATGGCCTGGCCCACCTATGATGACATGTTACCTAATCACAGTAAATTAGCACAGTTTGCTTTTGCTTTAAACATCGAAAGTTTGTAGTTAGGGTGGACATCGTGGACGGATGGTAGAGCCCACGACTGCTAATCTGAAAGTCTCGGGTTTAAATCCCAATCTGGAATCTGTTGGACATCAATGAATCCACTCAGCCCTGGTGGGTACCTGGCGCAAGTTAGGGAAAATAAAGTTGACTGGGCATATTGCTGATTACACTTTCCTTTCATATGCCGAATTCATTTAAACAGTGAACTCTACTTTATTTTCCTCATGGGCCCTATACCGTAAGGCTAAAAAGGAGACTTTACTTACTCACGTACGATCATGAGTCTATACTGTCTGTGACTACAAATTGTTGCACTTAATTTTGTAGCTGCCGAGTAAAGACGGGTGTAGAGAGTCCACCCAGTACAGCTGATGCCATTGAGATCACAATAACAGAATATGATGTCGTCATCAAACGACCTCGACCTTGGGTCAGAAGGTGAGTGGTCAGGTTTTTAAAAAGTTATGTTTCTTCTGTTCACTATTCGAATTTTCTGACAGCAATTATATTATACATTTTTTTTAAAATTTATTTTGGAACATAGTCTGATGAGATGTTAAACATGATTGCAAATAATAAAACAAATAGATATTGGTGCTTTCCTTGTATCAACATGGTCTCAATATTGTGGTCTCTTTAACTGGCAGTGGTCATAAAAGATCATAATATTAATACCCCTCCCTCTCAACCCCACCACCCCCCTTTAACCCTACCCCCTGCCCTTAACCACAATTGCTACAGTATTCACAAATCTAGCATATGAACTACTCACACGAGCATACTACACTGAAATGGACACAAATATACATTTTATCTTAATATTTTTCGCTCTGCCCATCAAAGAAAATACACCACTAGTAATCAAACAACAATTTGTCGATATCGATTTCTGCACGTAACAGGAATATCAGCATGATCGATCTTTCTCCTCGACTACTACACCACGACAGTGATTAATGATCATGATATATCGATACCTTTCTGAGCAGTTCGATTTCCAATTTATCATATTTTTACCTGACCTTTTGAATACCGTATTTAACTTCGATTAGCTGATCGATTCACAATTATTTTATGGCGATCATTTGCATGATTTTGCCTTTGGCTCATACTTAGAAGCAATATTTGTTTAATAATGTGAGTTCGTTTTTTAATAACTTTTACTCTTAGTCGAACTTTTATATATATATATATATATATATATATATATATATATATATATATATATATATATATATATATATATATATATATATATATATATATATCTTCATATATATAATGATAAATATATATATATTTATATATATAACTTACTTTTTTTTAAAATTTGCTTTGGCCTACCTTATTTCCAATTTCCTACGGGATTCCAATCTAATGCATATATGGTGATGTTATTGTTTGGTTTGCCCAAGGCACATCCAATCCATCCCCATTTGCGCTCTCTTTTAGTTCTTTACCAGTATGGTATTTGCGCAGTTTTTACCATAAATTCTGTTTTAGAAACTTTCTCAGGCAACACAATGTTCAATATGTGGCACAAGCATTTGTTAACGAAAGTCTGCAGTTTCTTTAAATTTAAGCGCAATATATTTGTTAGTCTTTCTTCTTCTTCTTCTTCATTCTAAGTGTTGTTGTGGAAGGGATCCCCTCTAATACATTTAAGTGAACTGGTTATACGCCATTGACTCCGATTTCAGCCTGCTTTTCTTTTTGGATTTGCTTTAATAGCCTTTATCCAACCAAGAACAAACTACAAGGCAGCAGTTGTTTGATTTTGGTGTTCTCTCCTAGAAGAGTGGCTGTCCCCAGCTAACAAACCTCATCTGCTCTCGGTGTCGAACTCGAGACACTTCGTTTTAGCAACCAAGAGCTTTATTGACTCGACCTCTTATCTGTTAGTAATTTGGGGCATTATTCTCAAATTAACATCGCTATAATGGGACGGTAGAGAGCTGGAGTACTAACCCGTAAGTCCCGTGTTCGAATCCGGGTTCAAGTTAGTAGACTGTCCCTGAGTCCACCCAACTCTGATGGGTACCTAACTCACGTTAGGGAAAGTAAAAGCGGCTGTCCATAGTGCTGACCACACTATCTCTTCATATGCCGAGGTCACAGAAACAGGTGAACTCTACTTCACTTGCCCCATAGACCGTCAGGTTAGAAAAGAAAACTTTACTTTACTTTTAACATCACTACACGTTTAATGATCGGGTAGTTAAGATAAAATATGTCTCAAGTCCAGTTTTGTGGTACAGGACGCCGGGATCTACAGCGTCTGAGAGAGCCAGGAGGTTGACTAAGGCGCTGGAGACGGCAGAGGACATGGACGAGAGCAAGAGGGCGAAGAAGAGGGCGGAGGCGCTGGCCAGGAGGAAGGAGATGGAGAGGGAGAGGAGGAAGGCTGTGAGGGCAGCTTATGCCAGGCTGAGGGCATCGAAGAGGGACAGGCACGGCAGTGTGAGTAGAAAATATAAAATCAACTTGACATCTACTTTTAAAGGTAGTTTCATGACGATAATACAGAGGCGTAGCGACCCTTCCCGGCGCCCGGGTACATACTTCCAATTTGGCGCCCCCTCGAGAGCAAATTTTCGATTTGCACCCCCCCCCCCTCGAACTTTTCATTTGCACCCCCCCCCCCTCAAACTTTCGATTTGCACCCCCCCCCCCTCGAACTTTTCATTTGCACCCCCCCTCAAACTTTCAATTTGGCGCCCCCCCCCCCTAAGGTCGGCGCCCGGGGACATATGTCCCCCCCCCCGCCCCCCCCCCCCTCGCTACGCTACTGCGATAATGATAAAACTAAGTAGAAGTATAATACAGTATACGGTTCATGAGACACATGAAGTAGAGTGCAACATTTTATCTGATCTCAGCATCATAAGGGATAATCTGATTAGCACTTCTTTCTAATCGAACTTCCCTAACGCAGGTTAGGTACCCATCAGAGCTGGGCGGACACCAAAACATCTTAAAGACGTCAGCTTAGTAACTTAATGCGCGACTTCCGGGGTATTAATTGTATACATTACCATCGAACCACACCGTTCCTTAAAATAGATACACGAATAGAACAATGAACTAGATTAAAACAACTCTCAGTCGTGTATGTCAAATCTCCAAAGCTACCAGAAAATATATATTAACTGCAAACTTTTTTTGTAAAATTTCGTATACGCCAAATCTCTAAACCTACCAGAACAAAGACTACTACCAAACTCCCTACAATTCCCGTGTACACATGTATGATGTATCACCTATGTCTTGCCCCTCCCTACCAGGATTCTTCCATGTTTGAGGACGGTCAGCCCGGGGGTGGGATGGGCCTGGAGAAGATGGACAAAATACCTTCTATACTAGAGGTCACAGGGAACAAGCCGTGAGTACACAGAAATGATACATTATATAATACATTATATAATACACTATATATATATATATATATATATATATATATATATATATATATATATAGTCTATATACATTTATGAATATATGCATATACATATATAAATGCATATATATACATATATATACATATATATACATATATATATATATATGTATGTATAAACATATAATATACATATATATATATGCACATATATATATATGTATATATATATATATATAAATATAATTATATATATATATAATTATATATATATACATATATATATATATATATATATATATATATATATATATATATATATATATATATATATATATAATATATATTGTTATGTATTTCTGTCTTTTTTTGTTTTCTGTTGACAATGCTTATGTCCCCTGTCTCTAGCGTGATGGCCATGTTTAAGAAGTACGTGACCGAAGATGACGACAAGGAGATCAACAACCTCATACAACTTTACAACGACCTGGACGCATACGTCGCTCTCAACGACAACAAAACCAGGAAAGATATGCAGTCCAACTACATCTCCAAGTGAGTACTGCTCAGGTTGATGTGTGGGTGCTCATGTGGGTGCTGGTGTGGGTGCTCATGTGGGTGCTGGTGTGGGTGCTCATGTGGGTGCTGGTGTGGGTGCTCATGTGGGTGCTGGTGTGGGTGCTCATGTGGGTGCTGGTGTGGGTGCTCATGTGGGTGCTGGTGTGGGTGCTCATGTGGGTGCTGGTGTGGGTGCTCATGTGGGTGCTGGTGTGGGTGCTCATGTGGGTGCTCGGGTGGGTGCTAATGTAGGTGCTAATGTCGGTGCTAATGTAGGTGCTAATGTCGGTGCTAATGTGCTCGTGTGGGTGCCCATGTGGGTGATCGTGTGGTTGCTCATTTGGGTGGATGTTCATGTATGTGCTCATGTGGGTGCCCATGTGGGTGTTCGTATACACACAGCTCAGGCCGTGTGGATGGTGGTTTTAATTATATCCTGACTATAACAATAAATGTATCACTCACACTTACTCTATATCTTTCCCAGTGGTTCTTAACTTGGGTTCGATTGAATCCCATGGGTTCGGTGAGTCAGTCAGGAGTTCGAGGATTTTTGAGCAATTCAAAAAATCATAGCATTGCTTAATATTATAAAGTTTCCTGAAAGGGTTCCTAATTAACAATTGTACATGCAATTACTCTTATGTGTTTATTTTGTTTCGTTTGAAATTCGATTGGTTAACCAAAAACTACTTTTAAAAAGATTTTAAAAATAATAATAATAAACACATCCATAAACATGTTCGATCCAGGCTTTACCTTGACCCTGAAGGCAAACGGTACGTCCCACTCAACAACGACGACCTAGCTGCCCGTGTAGCAGACGAGAGAGACCGGCCGTCGTCTGCCGTACTGAAGAACATCCACGCCGCCATCTTGCCCCGTGTGGAGGAGGTGTTCAAGGAGTTTATGCTGGTTGGTGATTGTTCATTTAGTTCTACATCATAGAAGTTTATGTTTTTTTTTTGTTAATTTGTTTACAATATAATCACAGGCGGTTCTAGGTGGGGTGCACTGGGATGCGAAGCTCCACCTTCTGTAAATGAAACTTGGAAAAATTCAGAATAGCTAAAACCTCTTGATAACTGCTAGAGCAATGGTTACAAGATATTACAAAGATTACATTTGTTCACCCAAAATTAAATTAGCTTGAATTAAAACTTAACCTCTTTCAAATAATCTTCATATAATGTATTGACTACCCATCTGAAAAATGTCATAAGTTATTCGTCAGTACCTTCCCACATGTTGGTACCCCTCTCCCTTTGTGTAAGCAGTGTCTTCAGACTAGGCATTAAATTAAATTAGCCTGTAACTTCAGTGCCTTCCGACAGGGCATTTCAATAGACTTGTCCCATCATACTGGGCATTTCAATAGACGTGTCCCATCATACTGGGCATTTCAATAGACGTGTCCCATCATACTGGCCATTTCAATAGACTTGTCCCATCATACTGGCCATTTCAATAGACTTGTCCCATCATACTGGCCATTTCAATAGACTTGTCCCATCATACTGGCCATTTCAATAGACTTGTCCCATCATACTGGCCATTTCAATAGACTTGTCCCATCATACTGGCCATTTCAATAGACTTGTCCCATCATACTGGCCATTTCAATAGACTTGTCCCATCATACTGGCCATTTCAATAGACTTGTCCCATCATACTGGCCATTTCAATAGACTTGTCCCATCATACTGGCCATTTCAATAGACTTGTCCCATCATACTGGCCATTTCAATAGACTTGTCCCATCATACTGGCCATTTCAATAGACCGGCCATTAACTTACCGACCACCCAACTTCCAGAAACGATCTGAAGAGCTGGGGATCGAACCCCAAAATCTGGCCACCATCACCCAGTCGGAGCTGACCATGCGCATGAGCAGTGAGAAGGCCATGATGTCCAGCTGGGACAAGAAGAGGCTCAAGGGGAAGGTAGGTCACTAGGTCAAGGTTGTTGGTTGAATGTCAAGGTTGTTTAACGTTTTTATGTTTTGGATTTTCAGCTGAAATTATCACGCAACATTCGAGATATTTCATTAAAAGTAAAACGTATTTTTGTAATAGATCAAATATATGACAATTAATTAGGTCAAATGTAACATTTTAATTAGGTCATATGCAATACTTTTAATTAGGTCAGACTTTTAATAAAATCAGATTACTTTTATGTAATTGAATTCGCTACACAAAAACTTAGAGATTATTGTCACCTTTAGTGAAAATTTACTTACATTACTATATTACTATATTTTAAATACAATATCAGAAAATGGGGGAGGGAGGGGAGAGGGGAGGGGGCGAAACAACCGAGAAGAGTACTTTTTTCTTGAAGTACTTTTTCTTTCAATGGTAAATATCTGCCAATAAAATGTATTTTTAATATCAAACTCATTTTCAATAGATTCTGGCTTTTCAGTCATAATGAAATATTTAATAAACTCTTAACCCCTAATCATCACTAATCCTAGCCAGTAAATCCAACCAGCCCTAACTCTAGTCCATAGCCCCTAAATAACTTAGTCCTTGTCTTTTCAAGACACCCCCCCTCCCTTATAAATTCCTGTACATCAGCAGATTTTGTGATCAATTATAATTTTTATTAACCAACACAAACAAAAAGTCTTATCTGAAGCAACAAAACTCCGAGAGTTTGTCTCTGTTAGTTTCTATCTGTACGTCTCTAACTTAATGTCACACTCAACACATTGCCCACCAAGGAGGAGAGCAACAAAGTTCCCTACACCAGTCACAGCCTCGACAAGCTCCGGGAACTCGAGTTCACTTCCGTCAAGGTCAATGTCATGGAAGGAGAGCAAACCGCAAGAGCCACTCGCTCAAAAGATACAGGTTCGAAACACGACACGACCACCGCAGCGCACGATGGTAAAAATCACAAGATGCATGTTGGTGATGGTGGTAATACATCCACCACAACCACCACAACCACCGCATCAACCACCACAGACACACGCAGTCACCAGAAGAGGCCGGAGCAGAAGGAGAGAGGTCAGAAATTGAAGACCATCGCGGAGTCTGAAGAGGTCTTGCAGGCGGTAGTGGAGGCGGGGTCAAGGTTTCGTAAGGTAACCTGGTGGCGGAGGCACTTGGAACTAATCCAAACTTAACAAGTCACGTGGGACTAATCCAAACTTAACAAGTCACGTGGGACTAATCCAAAAACAGACAAATGGAACTAATCCAAACTTAACACACATTGGGTTTCATGTATTTATTTTATTTACTCATTTTTTGTGTTGCACATTTTCTAAATATATTGCACTGTGTTTTGGTTTTAACCAAGTCGAATATAAAAGTTTGTTGTCGATATGCATACCTTACTTTCTTGATATGGTGACCATAATTGTCGTTAGGTTTGGGGTTATAGTTAGGTTTAAGTATAAACTTGTAACTAATTTTGAGACTGAGTTGGAATTATGGGATAGGGTGAAATTTGAGTTAATTATTTTCTGCATTGTCGATGTATATAATCTAGGAGCAGAGCAATAACCCTCTGTCAATTAGATCTACTTCACCTGCTCTATGGACCGTTATGCTCGAGAAGATACTTTACATTCAGTGTTTTTTCCAGACTTTTTTCTCCGGGAGGGGGGGGGGGGGGGCGGCACTTGAAATTTTCGGGGGGAGGGGGGTCGGTAGACTTTCTTCGGGGAGGGGGGGTGCGGACACTGTTAAATGTATATATTTCCTATATAAATTTCATTTCGTTCGCGGGGGCGGTAGACTTTCTTGGGGGGGGGGGGTTCGTTGGGTTGGTGATAATCGCAACGACGAGATTGTTTGTTTAGGTATGTTTGATTGTGGTGAAACATCTGGTTGCTACTCAATCTTTATTTCAAGTTTTAATTGAACAGTTCATGTTTTATATGGATACGTGACGATAGACTGAGGGCAAAGGTTAGCAGCCTCTCAAGAGTTAAATGCAAGTGACAAAATTTTAATCTCTAAATCGGTATTTGGGTTAATCTGTACTAAAATAACACTCATTGCCTTTTATTATAAAAAGTAACAATGATAATAATTACGAGTTTTTCTTTTTCTAACGCTGTGATAGAACTGAAATTATGTTAATGTTTTTTTTTTGTTTTTTTCCAACATTTCAATAAATAAACATATCTGGGTTGTCTTTATATTGGTGCTCATATATGATACTATAGCACTGCATCTAACATGTGTATTAAATTAACATGTGATTTTGTTACATTATATTTAAAATAACATGGTATATATTATCTAAAATTGTTATACTAAAAATTATGTTTTTAGTTGTTTTTAAAAAGATAATTATGATTTAAGAAACGTAGTAATACAACATTTGTGTTTTAATTTTGTAAATATAATTTTAAATAAATAACTTTTTAAAATTAAGTACAAAATATCCTTGTAGCACTTAGCAAATACAGCTCAATTTTAACAAAACAAGTATTAATTATTATTAGTATTAGTTTAAAAATTAACACTTTACTAAAATAAAGTAAACGAGCCGGCCCGCGGCATAACATACGCCGCTATTTAGTTGTTTCTAATTTTCAATAACTCATAATTTGTGAATTCGACAGTACCAACGCTGACACTGAAAATATTTCTTTAAAACACTATAAGTAGCTCGTTAAGGACCATAACCCCCCCCTTCCTTCCCTCCCCCCTCCTCCCCCCCCCCCCCCCCTACGTTTAAAATCGTTGGCTCTGCTTGTAAACATTTAGAGTGAACACAGCTCACTAAAACCATGTAGGGGTGGGGAGGTAGGGAGAGCGTTTGCAGCTTGTTTTCTAACGGCTCGAAGAAGAGAATTATATATATAGATTATACAATTATTAATGGTACATATATCAAATATGAGTAAGTTGAAACCCAAAAATATAATGTAATATGAAAATAATGTGATATACTTATAACGTGATATAAATATAATGTGATATAAGTATAATGTGTTATAATTATAATGTGATATAAATATAATGTGATAAAAATAAAATGTGATATAAATATAAAATTACAAAAATATGATTTGACTAAAATATCCTGTTATATTAATGTAATTCGATACAAATATATTGGGATATAAATTTAGTGTGATATAAGTATAATTTGATATAAATACAATGTGATATGTTGAAGTGACAGATAAAAATCCAACTAAAATACCTTGTGACATATTGACTGTTCCCGTGCTATCCAGGGCGCCCAAAAACCTGTCGACCCCCGGGATCAGGACGTGGTGCCGCCCCTGCCCCACTTCCCCACCCCTGGGTCACAGCGACCCCAGAGTCACTCGAGCAACCGCAGCTTCCACCTGCCGACCAGCAGACGAGCCAAGAAGAAGGTCAGCCTGGTCACGTGTGCTTGACTGGCCGCTTGTATTGGTCAGCTCGGCTGTGGTCTTGTGCTATTTTTATCCTGCCGTGTATTCCACTTTGCATGCTGCTATTTATCTTGCAACTTATACCGGCTGCTAATTTTTTTTTTTTTTTTAAATTTACATAATGATTGTTTTTTTTAATTTCGTATTGTTTGAGAAAAAAATTAAATCTTTAAAAATAAACAAATATAAAAATGTAATATTTCACGCATGCTTATGTATATCTCTCTATTTCTGACGGAAATATATGTTTACCATTACCATTGCACAAGTATAACAAAACCTGCATGAGCATGCATTTCTACATAACCTCATGTGTTTCATGTTTATATATATATATATATATATATATATATATATATATATATATATATATATATATATATATATATATATATATATATATATATATATATATATATATATATCTGTATTGAATTTTATTGCACGTCATATTTTACTATTAGTGCACCATAACTAACGGATTTTTACACACAGGGTGATGGTAGTGTTTTAAGATTGGATTCAATATTGTATTTAACAAAAAGTTTAAGGGTAAAGTTTAGGGTGAAGAAGAGGTGGAAAAACCTGATCCGAGTTTAGTTTATGTTTAGATCAATGATAAATGTGTTTTCAGCTTCAGTGGTTTTGATTAATTTAAAAATGTGAACAATTAAAGTTTAGGTATTTGAGATTAATTGATTACTGGTGAGATTAGCCTGCGTCAACAGGTATCACATTTTCGTGATGTAATTGTACCAGTACCCCATGAAATGTCATACCTGTATACTTTGTTTTATTTATGCTCTAGCTTAAAGATAGGCTACATCTTCAAGGCAGATTTTCTTTTTTTTTTTTTGAAAAACCATAATCTAATTGCATTTGTGGCAGATTTGTGAAAGCCAAATAACAGACTAATTCTAGTAAACTTTTGTAAAAGTCAACAGTAAACATCTATATAAGTTTAATCGATCAATCGAATATAATCAGTTACCTGATATTCATTCCATTTCTTTATAATTTTAATTCCTTTTTAAATCATACTGAAATCTTTAATTAAAGAATGTTATTAGCCAAATGTATGAATATATGATTAAACGTATCACTTTCATTGTAACCATTTTACTGCAATATCTAACATGAATCTACTAACTTGGGATATGGATATTGTATTAAATATTGTGTAAACGTATATTTATATTATTACAAATCAGGTTAAAATTGTTGTAAAAAAATAATTCTACATTTGTGATTATGTTTTAATAATGTCTAAATTAAATTAAAAGGATAAAAATGTTCCTTACTATTTAAAAAAAAAAAGATATTTCATAGAGAAATGTTTAATTTTAATCATCTGTATTCAGCACATTCTTTTGCTATTTGGATGTGTAATGTTTTGTCTTCTAGAAACAGGTTTGTTTCGCTAAAAGGCTAAAACAATTCCTTCATTAAGTCGTACTTCGAGATTATTTTTAAAAATCGTGATAAAGTTAATAATTAATGAGCTTTTACTATGTAAAAAGATATTTTTAGAAATAAGTAAACAAAAATAAATTTGTTACTGGGTCAATAATACTAGAACAGGAGGACGGCCTCAGTGTGTTGCTAGGTTAGTAGGTCACTGTGTCAGTGTGTCACTGGGTCAGTAGGACACTATATTAGTGTGTTACTAGGTCAGTAGGACACTGTATCAGTGTGTTACTAGGTCAATAGGACACTGTATCAGTGTGTCACTGGGTCAGTAGGACACTATCAGTGTGCCACTGGGTCAGTAGGTCACTGTATCAGTGTGTTACTAGGTCAGTGTGTCACTGGGTCAGTAGGTCAGTAGGTCACTGTATCAGTGTGTTAATTCACGTGTTGTTTCCTCACGTGTGTACAGCACACAGGCCGCGCCCAGCCCACGAGAGATGACAAGATTGAGTTCCTGAACTGTCTGAACCAGTCCGCCATGGGTCACCTGACCATCCACATGCTCTACTTCTACAAGTATCTGCTCAAGCACGGGGAGGCTGACCAGATGCCACAGATAGACAAGGATCTGTTTTTTTATATTGAGGTCCAGAAGTTTAAGGTAAGGGGGTGGGGGTGGGTGAGGGGTTACAGATAGACAAGGATCTGTTTTTTTATATCGAGGTCCAGAAGTTTAAGGTAAGGGGGTGGGGGGGGGAGGGGTTACAGATAGACAAGGATCTGTTTTTTTATATCGAGGTCCAGAAGTTTAAGGTAAGGGGGTGGGGGGAGGGGTTACAGATAGACAAGGATCTGTTTTTTTATGTCGAGGTCCAGAAGTTTAAGGTAAGGGGTGGGGGTGGGTGAGGGGGAGGGGTTACAGATAGACAAGGATCTGTTTTTTTATATCGAGGTCCAGAAGTTTAAGGTAAGGGGGTGGGGGGGAGGGGTTACAGATAGACAAGGATCTGTTTTTTTATATCGAGGTCCAGAAGTTTAAGGTGAGGGGGAGGGGTTACAGATAGACACGGATCTGTTTTTTTATATCGAGGTCCAGAAGTTTAAGGTAAGGGGGGAGGGGGGGTTGTTACAGATAGACAAGGATCTGTTTTTTTTTATCGAGTTGTGGAAGTTTAAGGGGGAGTGGTGGCGGAAAAAGTGTAAGGCAATGGTGGATAGGATAAGTTTATGCTTTTTGTATATACTTAAATCTGCTTTAGTTGTTTAAAACTTCGGTTTAAAATTAAACGAAATGTGTGAACACAAGAACTTAGTTTTACCTCTATCATTCACCATGTATGACAGCTTAAAAGTATAGAGTTTATTTATTCTGGGAGCCGGACGTTTTCCCGAAAGACACTTGCCTGAATGCGACAAATGCCCGAATGTCACTTGCCCGAAGGCCGTTAGCCCGAAAAATGTTAACATTATATATTACCAAATAATCATTCGTAATCAATTTAAATTGAAAATGTTGATAAACATCTACGCAAAAAGAACGGAAAAAAAAATAATATTTTGTATTACCACGCAGATATTTTAAATTAATTTGTATTTGCTCTATATAAAGTGTAGAAACATACTTTGTCTTCCATCTATAAAACCAGACAAAAAATACCTTTTTCGTTTATCACAAGTTTTTAAAATGAATTTTGCTTTCTTTATTAAGTAATCGCTTCAAAACATTGTCTAAACAAGGTGCATTAAATGAAGATCAAACGTATTTGACTACCTTTTGTTTTTAAATTCGCCGCCTATACCACGCCTCGTTCTGTTGTGAAATGATCACCCCACAATTTTACATAACAAGATAAATCAAACAAACGCGTCTCTGTTCAATGTTGCGAGACGCCGCGCCGCCCACACCATGTCATAAGCGCTATATAACCATCGCAACACGTCGGCTAAACAAGGTGTTCAAAACTTACATCAAAAGAATGTTAGGACATAGCCGCCAACATCTCTTTAAATTTATTAAAGAATAAAGATTTTTTACAGCCATTTCTCAATTTTGAAAAAAATAAAATAAAAATCGAAATTTTAAAATTATAAACAAATTTGCTTTTATGCTTAGATTTGTGTTTATTATCAAAATTTCAAACTTAACTTGATAAAGAATCTCTATTTAGTAATATTATTTATTATCTAATATTAACATTTTTCGGGCAAACGGCCTTCGGGTAAGTGGCATTCGGGCATTTGTCGCATTTGGGCAAGTGTCCATTCCGGCAAGTGTCCATTCGGGAAATCGGCCTTCGGGCAAACGGCATTCGGGCAAGTGTCTTTCGGGAATTTGTCGTAGACCCATTTATTCTATTCCATATAATTTAACAGTACGTTAGTCAAATCAATGTGATTTTAAAAAATATATCGGTGGATGTTTGAAGAATTGAAAGCCAAAACAAAAGCGGACCATTAAGTCACGCAAATCAAGTTGCCATCTCAAATATATGTAACAGAAATAAATTTATATTGGGTGTGTTACATTGTGCATTTAATCTTTATTTTTAAAAAAATTATTATTATTATTATTTATTTTTTTGTTGTAAATGACAGGACGGCAGTCACGGCTATTCCGACCCTGAGCTACTGAAAGGCAAAGTCCAGTCTATTGTGGCCTGTTTCTTAGACTCTGTCTATCTCCCTAGTCTACAGGTAGGTGTGGCTCAAGGATAGGTCATTATGTGGGTAGGGGATGGGTGGGGATGGGTAGGGTTGGGGAGTGGCTAGAGAAGGGGTAGGGCATGCAATGGTAATGATAAGGGAAAGTTACGTTCCTTTTTCGAACCTGACGGTCCATGTGGCAAGTGAAGTAGAGTTCCACTGTTACTGTGACCTGAAGGTTAGCGGATGTAAAGCCTAAGCAGTTTTATGTGATCCTCCTCCCGGTATAACCAAATAAAGTTATTGAACAACTGATTAACTGTTTATGATTGATTACAAAAACAAACAACAACAAACTCTTAAATATTTTCCCTATCGATTAATTAAAATAAATTTAATCGATTTCTAATTGTATTGTCGCTTTATCAAAGAAGTATGTAACTTCAAGTTAATTGACCAATCAAACGGATCATAAAGCTGATTACTTTAAATCAATCACCTATTGTACTACTGATACATAGAAGTAAGGTGAAACTTGAGGGCACATGGGGCAATCAATGTGAATTAGGTACCCATCTGACCTGCAAGGACTCAGGGACATTCTACTGACTTGAACCCCGGATTCGAACTCAAAACTTTCGGGTTAGCAGTCTAGCGCTCTACCGCTAGGCCACGTTGCAAGATGACCGCTAGAAGTATGCGTTAACCATATTGATCCTAACTGATGTATCACAAAACTGATCACATTGTATCGATCTATCACAAAACTGATCACGTTGTATCGATCTATCACAAAACTAATCACATTGTATCGATCTATCACAAAACTGATCACATTATATCGATCTATCACAAAACTGATCACATTATATCGATCTATCACAAAACTGATCACATTATATCGAACTATCACAAAACTGATCACATTGTATCGATCTATCACAAAACTGATCACATTGTATCGATCTATCACAAAACTGATCACATTGTATCGACCTATCACAAAACTGATCACATTGTATCGATCTATCACAAAACTGATCACGTTGTATCGATGACCCAATCAGATCGATCTCCCCCAAGACCTGCACCAGAAAGCCCTCAAGAACGCCCAGAAGTACCTGAGCGGCAGGGAACAATGGCCGACCCTGTTTGACGAGGCTCAGGTCCACATCTTCAAGGAACTTCTCTTCTACTGGGCGGGCTTCAAGAGGGCCATCTCCACACCGGTAGACCTGCAGAAAAAACCAGGTGCGATGTATAACTTATTTGTGTGGGGTCGTCTATTGGTGACGTCAGGACCTTGCCCCGATTTTTTAACCCATCCCTCCTTTCGTCTCCTTTAGTCATAATATTACCCCCCCCCCCTTCCACTCCCAGGAAAATATAACGTCATATAAGTCGTCAAATTATTTCCTAATTTTTATTTTATTTGTTAAGTGAACAAAGGGATATAACTCATCTATTATTATTTTGCGGTAAATATTAATTGAGTTTTATCCCTTGGCATATAAAAATACTTTTAAATATTTAAAAATTTTTGAATAAATACAATTTTCATCGAAGTTTACAAAAAAAAATAGGTCTTTTTATTTTTAAATCTTTTAAAAATTCTTTTCATAAATGCAATGGCCTAACGCCAAATTTAATTAAATCCTGACTTCCTTACTCTGTGATTCTCGATTGTTATAACTCCTCAATATTTAATACTGACATAACGACTCTGTGACTCCTGACTCCTTGACTCCCTCCTATGTACGATCTACCCTGGTGTTACAGTGACGAAGTACGAGAAGATGTTGAAGAAGCGTCTGGAGACTATAGAGAACTACAAGGCACCCAGCTCCGACTTCAGTCTGCCCTCAATACCGGAAGGGGCGGTGCCGTCTTTTTCCATCTCGCTGTCTGAGGGGGTCAAGTTCAAGGTGAGGATCGGGTGTATTTAGTAGACGTGAGATGGTTGTAGTGTGGGGGGGAGGGGAGTTGTAGACTCGCTGACAGTAGTGTGAACACCACACCACCACACACACCATACACACAAACACACACATTTTATATATATATATATATATATATATATATATATATATATATATATATATATATATATATATATATATATATGGACGAAGGAGAGGGGAATGACTGAGGAAAGTTCTATTAACCAGTTAACATTTAAGCTATTTTAATTGTACAATTTTATTGCCCGATGTGCAGTTTGCTAGCAGTAAGGACGAATTGCTCCTTCCTCAAATTTTTAATAGAATTATTATGACGACAATTGTACATTGTGTAAAAATTGCTCTTTGATCTAGTAATAATAAAAATCTTGTCTTTGTGTATAACAGTTGTATACACCACTTCCCCCTACCCGGGGTCCAACGATCGTAAGAAATGTGTTGAGTTGTTGGTTTTATCTGCCGTGTCTGATCCTAGTGTGTTGAGGACTGTTTGTTTGTGTGTTAGTTAACGGTGTTTTCGTGTTTAACACAGTGTGTTGAGGACTGTTTGTTTGTGTGTTAGTTAATGGTGTGTTGATGTTTAACACAGTGTGTTGAGGACTGTTTGTGTTTGTGTGTTAGTTAACGGTGTGTTGATGTTTAACACAGTGTGTTGAGGACTGTTTGTGTTTGTGTGTTAGTTAACGGTGTGTTGATGTTTAACACAGTGTGTTGAGGACTGTTTGTGTTTGTGTGTTAGTTAACGGTGTGTTGATGTTTAACACAGTGTGTTGAGGACTGTTTGTGTTTGTGTGTTAGTTAACGGTGTGTTGATGTTTAACACAGTGTGTTGAGGACTGTTTGTGTTTGTGTGTTAGTTAACGGTGTGTTGATGTTTAACACAGTGTGTTGAGGACTGTTTGTGTTTGTGTGTTAGTTAACGGTGTGTTGATGTTTAACACAGTGTGTTGAGGACTGTTTGTGTTTGTGTGTTAGTTAATGGTGTGTTGATGTTTAACACAGTGTGTTGAGGACTGTTTGTGTTTGTGTGTTAGTTAACGGTGTGTTGATGTTTAACACAGTGTGTTGAGGACTGTTTGTGTTTGTGTGTTAGTTAACGGTGTGTTGATGTTTAACACAGTGTGTTGAGGACTGTTTGTGTTTGTGTGTTAGTTAATGGTGTGTTGATGTTTAACACAGTGTGTTGAGGACTGTTTGTGTTTGTGTGTTAGTTAACGGTGTGTTGATGTTTAACACAGTGTGTTGAGGACTGTTTGTGTTTGTGTGTTAGTTAATGGTGTGTTGATGTTTAACACAGTGTGTTGAGGACTGTTTGTGTTTGTGTGTTAGTTAACGGTGTGTTGATGTTTAACACAGTGTGTTGAGGACTGTTTGTGTTTGTGTGTTAGTTAACGGTGTGTTGATGTTTAACACAGTGTGTTGAGGACTGTTTGTGTTTGTGTGTTAGTTAATGGTGTGTTGGTGTTTAACACAGTGTGTTGAGGACTGTTTGTGTTTGTGTGTTAGTTAATGGTGTGTTGGTGTTTAACACAGTGTGTTGAGGACTGTTTGTGTTTGTGTGTTAGTTAACGGTGTGTTGATGTTTAACACAGTGTGTTGAGGACTGTTTGTGTTTGTGTGTTAGTAGTTAACAGTGCGTGTTGTTGGTTAAGTGTTTTGAGAACTGTTTGTGTTTGTGTGTTAGTTAACGGTGTGTTCGTGTTTAACAAAGTGTATTGAGATCTGTTTTTGTGTGTGTGTTAGTTAACGGTTTGTTTGTGTTTAACACAGTGTAGAAAACTGTTTGTTTTTTTGTTTGTGTATTAGTTAATGGTGTGTTGGTGTTTAACACAGTGTGTTGAGGACTGTTTGTGTTTGTGTGTTAGTTAACGGTGTGTTTGTGTTTAACACAGTGTGGGGTGATTTTTCATACCTGATATTTTATATATGACATCATATTTTTATGTGTGATTTTGATAAGTATATGTGTGTGTTTTGAACGTTATGTCATTAGTATATAAAGTAATGGTTACATACCGCATCTCAACTTGGCTTTAAAGAACATACATATACACTTTTTGTATATGCAGTTAAATTGAAGAAATCCACATATAAAATTTCAGTATGACCGCTTTAATTAAAACAGCTTACAGTTTAAGTGCACACTAATCATGCTTAATGAAAAAAAAATGGTAATAAACTTTCCACTGAAAAATTTAAATATATATATTTGTACCAGAAACTTTGAGGCTAAATGTGAGGCTATAAATACTCAGTTAATATCATTTATCCCAGAATTCTGTTTGGTTGAGTTAATATATGTGTGCTTACCCTAACTAATATTCTATCTAAACTGTTTCTCTCTTGATAAAAATATGAAACGCTTTACTTTTGATTACTGCAGCCGGTCCAAAACTTTGTAAGTAGATTCTTGTCTTGAAGTTTTTACCTATATGTAGTGTCTTCCATAAACTTCGCGTTTTTGTTGTTGTTTTTTAGTTGCATCAACCACCCCCTGTCCCATCGTCACACACCGTTACTAAAAATAAACCAGGCTGGTTTTCCCTGTCCAAAATTAACAAAAGTCGACAAATCCTTTTTTTTTTTATTTTGAAAGGGGATATAACCTAACGAAGACAATTTCGCCAAAAAGATTAATTGAGTTGTTTCCCTTTGTATATAAATTGCTTATCACTGTGTGAAACAATTTTTTTTTAAACATGTAATTATATTTAAGCTTTAGTGATCAATGTTCATGACATCAATTTTTACACTAAAAACTAAATTTTTACTAGTAATTTTAATGGAGATTAGTTTCTAAAGAAGCATTTTAGCAACTTTTCTTTAAAATGCTAGTGTGACATCATACTATCATAAACACCTTCTTACCTCCCTCCCCCCTCCCTCCCGTTCTCACGTATCGGCAAAAATATACGTCCCACCTCCACTAGGAGTGTGACGTATTTTATGGATGACTCAATTTATGACCATAAAATATTTTTATCACCATCTAAAAGCTTTTTTTTTAAAAGTAAATAGATAAACCGTAAGGAAGGTAACTCTAACGATTTTAAATGTACGCTATATTTATTGTTGTCTCCCTTACTATAGAAACCTATTTTTTTTTTTTTTTTTTTTTTTTTTTTACAAAATTAATTTATATGTAAAAAAAATTAGATTATTCAATTAACCCTTTACACCTACAGTAACGTCAATTTTTTTTCTTCTTGTAATTTTTTTTTTTTAATTTTGCATGAATACTTTAAAAAAGACCTGGAATAACGGTAACTGAAATAGATCTGGAATAACGCCGTCTGCTAATATTTCCTGCAGGATATTGATGAGAGTGTAAACAGCACGCCCGTGCCAGACCTAAAGGACAGGAGAGGAAGCAAGTCTGGGATCTTACTGCCGGAAGGTCAGAGGTCAAGGGGGTCGTCACGCAAGAATTCGTTGGTTGCCAGATAACAAGAGCGTTGATTTAGTTGACCACATGTTGACCACACGTTGACCACATGTTGACCACATGAACAAACCTTGACTACACATTGACCACACATTGACCACACGTTGACCACATAAGCAAACCTTGACCACACGTTTAAAAAAACCACAACTGACCACATGTTGAAAAAAATTAATCACATTTTAACCACAATTACTTGAATGTGATCAAAATAAAATCAGTATCCAAAAAGCATGAATAGGCATCAAAATCGACTTACTTGACTTAGTCCTCTTTGCTCCTTATGGAGCATAAGGCCTCCACCATACCCTTCCATTTTGACCGGTCCCCGGCTATTAATTTTGGAATCTCCCTTGACATCCCTGTTGTCTCAGACATTAAATTACTAAACATTAATTATAATTGATCCACATATTAAAAATTGTAAAATAAAACAAGAAATAAACGACACAATTCAAACCGCCTACAACATGGGCACTAGCTGGCAAGATATTGAACGCTAACTGAACAATGAACATAAAGTTAACACCACCTTAACTTCTCACAATTTCAACCATAAATGGACAACAATTCACCTAATAACGCATATTTGCTTGATTGAAAGGACCAAACATTAACCATTTATTTTTCACACTTTGTGTGATTTAATTACAATGTTTTATTGATCTGTAGAGCTTAATTGCAATGTTTCATCGATCTATAAAACTTAATGACATTGTTTAATTGATATGTATAACGTAACTGCATAACTTGTATATTTTACTGGTATAATTTTGCTGTGTTCAATTAGAAATGTATAGCGAACAGGATTTGAGATTTCTGTTATTTTTTCCTCTCTCATTTCTGGGAAAATTATTTTGACTTTTCCAATATACGCGCTATAAAGTAAAAGTAAGTTAAGTTCTCTTGTTTAATATGACAACACATGGGACAGGTAAAATAGAGTTCAGCTGTTTCTGTGACCTTGGCAAATGATGGGATAGTATGCCCAGCCGTCTTTTACTTTCTGTAACATGAGTTAGGTACCCATTAGAGCTGGTTGGACTCAGGGTAGTTTGAATTGCTTGAACCAGAATTTGAACTCGAGACTTTCGGGTTAGTAGTCTAGCGCTCTACCTCTAGGCCACGCGTTGTACATTAGGGGAGAAAACGTATAGTTTAATTTTAAACATTAGTTTTCCAAAAATATAATTTACAAAACACTAAAATAATTATTTTTTTTTTGTGTTCGCTTTATAACTTTTTCTTTCCAAGTTTAAAAAAAAAAATGTTTTTTTTTTTTAATTTACACATGCAGCATAACTTAAAGCAGTTTGTTTGTGTTCGATTAATATGGCCGTAAAATAATATTATCCCTTTTAATATCCTTTCCATCAACAACAGTTTGTCAAAGAACCGTAACAGCAGATGTGGGTGATTTCCCCTGGGTTTGTCTTTATTTATCCCTCCGTAAACAAATTTTTTTTTTTCGACTTCGTTTTTTATTAGTTTGTCATTTCTCTTGCCGGTTATGTAATTGTAATAGCCAGACAAAATCGATTAGTAATTAAATATCTCTGCAAGGCTAACCTTCGTTCAATAAGGTACTTAAAGTGTCTGCGGTTTTTATTAAAACAATCTGTCTCAAAGAACGCTATGCAAATTTAAAGGGAAAAAAAAAAGTTTTTAAACGTTAATAAAACCACACCATGACTGATATGTTTATATGAATGATATGCTTTGTCGATGTAACCGTTATTTATTGTTTGACAGTTTATATTTTTGAGAATAAATTTACCAGTGTTATTTTTTTTTAAAAAGATGTGTTTGTTATTTCCTGTGTTTTTGCTAAAAACTTGGCCGAACAGGTCCCGCTAAAAAGTGGCGAAACAATACAACAGAGAATTGAATAGTGTATTGTTGAAGAGAGTGCGTATCATCAAAATGGACCCAGAAGTCTTTTTTCTTTCTGGGCACTCTTCAGGGCGGTGGGGAGGGGGGGGGGGGGGGTGGTTCCCTTCATCGGTGTGTCCCCCCCCCCCCCCCCGAACTAATTTTTTAAAAAATCTCTATAGGAGGGTCCTATAGTGTTTATAAAAAAAAATATTTTAACAACTATTTTCCACTCCCGGAAAAAAAATGTCTGAAAGTGACACTTATAAATTGTTGTTGTGTTAAGACTAGAGCTAGGTTTACGATTTGCTTTAGCTGACGATTAGTGCAATTAGTAACGACGTAGAGGTTAAAGTCTCTTCCATTCGATTATATTTACAATACACATTGAGATACATATATATATATATATATATATATATATATATATATATATATATATATATATATATATATATATACTCCCCAAGATCTGCCTAAGTTTATAGATTGTCAAGCTAATGGATGTTATGCCTTGTCTAAGAATTGATGAACTAGTTTTAAAAACGTTATTAATTATCGTTATTAAAAAAATGTACCCATTTTTTTTTTTTGCTTTTTCTACCTCCTCTATAGGCCTTTTTTAGATAATAATAGATTTCTTTATATCGGATGAAAATATGTTTTTTTATTGATGTTTATATTAGGTTGACGTCTATTTACATTCCCTGTGTGCTCTTGTTTTTGTTAAATTAAAAATTAAATTGTCATTAAGTGCTGGCCAAATGGAACTCCACCTTTGATGATTGTATCTTTGATGATTGTATCTTTGATGATTGTACTGTTGAGCTTATCTGATTGAAGATTGTGAGGAAGTTGATTGTTGATCTGCTGGTGATATGGAATAGAGTTAAACAACTGGTGTGGCGGATAGTTTGTGTAACGTGTAAACAAGGAGTGTTCAGGGTGATTAGTATCAGGATAATCTCCTATCATGGTGGCTTGTATCATTACATCCTTACATGCTGATGTTTTAGGTCTATGTATATCAAGTGATGTTATGTTCAGGGTTCTTCTAAAAATGATTTGTAAAAAAAAAAAGTTTTGATCCCCTTTTCGAATGTAATCGTTCATGAGCACACGAAGTAGAGTTGAGCTGTTTCTGTGACATGGGGTATACAAGGATAGTGCGTCGTTATATAACAGTAACGCACAAATTTTACCCCCCCCCCTCTCTCTCTCTCTTCTCACCATAAAACGCACATATTTAACACCCCACCCCCTCCTCCCACCCTCTGCCCTACCATCCTTACCCACAAGTTACATTTTTTTTAAACCATCCATGATCAGTCATGTTTCTGTATTGATCTTATCATTGATCTTATCGTCGTGATTTCCTGATACAGAAGACTGATACGTTGAGTAGCATTGAAATCAACAAGAGGAGACAGGAGTTCGCAGTACTATGTTAGCATACACTCAGATTTAACAATACTATGTTTACATACAGATTTAGTAGTACTATTTTAACACATAGTTTGCTGTACTATGTTAACATACAATCAGATTTAGTAGTACTATGTTAACATACAATCAGATTTAGTAGTGCTATGTTAACATACACTCAGATTTAGCAGTACTGTGTTAACATACAGAGTTAGTTGTACTGTTTTAACATACACATATGTTAACATACACATAGATTAGCAGTACTATGTTAACATACATACAGAGTTCGCAGTACTATGTTAACATACACAATATAATTCTCTGTACTTGTTGAATGTATTTTGATGATCAATATTAGCATTTTTAAGATTATTAAGTCGCAAGGCCTCCTGGGGTTTATGGCTTCTATTCTGTTTTTTTTTTTAAATTAGGGTTCGTCCATAAATGACGTCTCACTATGGAGGGGCTGGATGGGGATTTCAGAAAATGTGACGACACGCTTTGCAATAATTTTAGAAACTTAATTTCACGTTTTATATGCAGGGTACGAGTTATATGTTTGTTTTAAATTGTTAGCGCTTCCATGCTTAATTCAATATGTGGATGTCCACATGGGCCAGAACCACCCCCCCCCCCCCTTCCCCCAGTCCACACGAGTCCACAAAAGTTGATTTTTTTTCACCCCCCCCCCCCTCCTCCGTGTGGACGTCATAAATGTATGACCCCTTATACCAAGGCGTGTATGTACTTAGTTAACTACCGATGACCTAACACCCCGTTTTTAATAAGATTCCATTATTGAATCGAACTAGAAACAGGCGCAAGTCATAGATTTATATCTGCAACATTGATATGGGTTTTTTTTCAAAGAAAGCGTGTCAAATCAAAATAAGGAGAATGCCAAAGTTCTCGAGTTCGAATCCGGGGCATGATAGACCATATTCTATAGTTTGGAGCGGCAGCAAAACAAAACAGCGTCCTCTATTATCATGACTGGCTTATCTTCCAATAGGTAAAAATATAGTACTAAAGCAACTCGTATATATATATATAATGTGTCACGAATCAGCCCTTCGTACTTATCAGACCTATTTTATTACAACACAACATTAAATTGTCGTCATAGTTTACACATCCCATATACAACTTGTTTTCCTCTGGTTCTAATTTGGGGCATCATTTCCAACCAGGATAAGCTATATGTAACTGAGAATATATTCAACACAAAATGTACAGCTAGTTCTTGACCTGCTAAACTTAGTCATTGCAACATGTTTTATTCATATATTTTATTCTATTGTGTATTATAGCTATGTAAATATTATTGCTTTACTCCACATTTTAAAATGCAGTTTTCCTTTATGTCTTTAACATGTAGGTTAATTGTTGTTTTATTAAAATGTTGTTGGAATTATTCTTTTTAAATAACGGTCATTGTGAGAAAAAGGCCTCCGTGTCTATTGTTGTTAACGTTATAAATTTGCTATTATTGTTATTATGATTGTTATTATGATTATTATTGTTATTTTTATTGTTATTATTATTATTTTCTCTTCAGCATTGAATTAGTGAGCGGTTGTGTTTTTTATTTTTTATTTTTTATTTTTTTTCATTTTTTATTTTCACTATCCGTTGCTAAAATGTTAAATGTTGAATGCTGAATATTAAGTTTGACTTGACGCTAGTTCTTGTCAGTTCCAAACCACCACCCCCCCCCCCACCCCCTCCTCACCACCACCCTATAAGAACAATGACACGCTAATTGCACGTGCTCCACTCCTGTTCACAATCAAAGACCGGGGCGGTATCGATACCATCTCCCGCGTCTCCAAAACAAACAGCTTCAAGTCTCCGGTATTTAAACTCTCGTACAGTGTAATCGATTTCTAGATGTGGACAAATGTTTGCGAAGAATAAAAAGAGCATCGACCCGTGTTGGAGGATATAAATCTGTGTTTAACAACCGAGTTTAGACAACATTGACGCTTTGGACAACCTTTTGGCTACAAGTTTCAAGAACGGTATACATCATTACAATCGTTATTCTCTTTTGTATGTAATAGTGACTGGAAATGATGAATGTTAAGACGGGTTCGATACAAAGAAGAAAGGTTCGATACTCTATTTCTTGTGTTTGAGATCCATGACAGTTTTGTTTTAATTTCTGGTAATGACACTGTGGCAGGAAGTACATCATATTGTCAAACAGGATGTGAGGTCATTGTTTCGTACTGGCCGTCAGCACGTGCATCAATAGTTGCGTGAGTGGGGTTCCACACTGCACAAGGTAGAAGTCTCAGAAATATTTGGGTGAGTGAAATTTATTTTTATACATTTTTTTGTTACTGTAATAAAAGTTTTTTTTTTTTTTTTTTTTTTTTTTTTTTTTTGTAGAGTTGAAAATACTGAACTAACATTTATGATTGAAAATCTATCATAATATTCTTTACTAAAAAGGCTGTTTGATAAATAATTAATTATATATATATATATATATATATATATATATATATATATATATATATATATATATATATATATATATACTTAATATGATCAAATATCAACAGTAAGTGTCTTTTCTTCAAATACTAGCTCAATGCTGTATCAATAATAATTACAGGGTACGTAACTCCAGCTGTTATTCTCAAGTTCTGGTCCTTGTTCCAGCTCTCTGCCAACCTCTAACAAGATGACACGTCCGAAGGTCACCGGCACCACCGTTCTGCTGCTCGCGCTCCTGACGTCATCACTCCCCAGAGGCACCCTCCCCACCTCACAGGGGCGTGACTTCCTCCTAGCCTTCCCTAGCAGCCTCCCTCTACAGCTCCCCTACCTACAATACCTGTCTATGTCTAACGGCAACAACATCAGCGTTGTCGTCAACGTTTACATCTACAGTAACGGCACGCTGTTGAACTCTTTGAGGAAAGTTTTGGACTCGCGAAGAGCTTGCTTCGCCGACTGTCTAAACACATCCTTGACCTCGACCTTGTCAACTCTACCTTTTCCGGTGCTGCGGATTACCTCTTCCGGTGATATCGTCGTTCTAGCTCATTCTTACTCCGGGACTACTTTTTTCGATTACTTTTTACTTATACCGTCGAGTGTGTCTCCTGTGAAGTACATTGTGGTGACGGAATGTCCTTCAAATACGTGCGTCGTGATCATAACCAATGGGGAATACACGAATAACGTGACATTGACCTTTTGGCTAGGTTCAAGTTCAAGGTCAACGACAACTTCCGTGAGTTTTGACAACACGACCTTTTACAATGGCGATGTACTGCAGAAGAACCTCAGCGCCTGGGAGTCCATAGAGATTCTGGCGCCCAACACCGACATGACCGGAAGTCAGGTTCAAGCATCCGGTCCAGTCGCCGTCTTATCCGGTGACGTCACCGTATCGAACAACGCAATAACCGAGTACGATATCCAAGATTTGCCGAACGCGAAATTGCTCGGTTACGATTACA